CTAAGCGATTGTGAACTCCACGGTTTCAGCGATGCTTCCGAACGCGGGTACGCAGCTTGCGTCTACCTGCGCGTCAAAATTTCTTATGGTAAAACTTCGGCCCAACTAATGTTGGCGAAGTCTCGAGTTGCTCCTCTCAAGCAAAAGCTCACGATTCCCAAATTGGAATTGTGCGGCGCACATCTTCTCGCTCGCTTACTTGAGCATATTATCAAAACTCTAAAACATAAAATTAAAATCAGCAGCACAGTGGCCTGGTGTGATTCCAGCATTGTGCTCACATGGCTTAAATCTTCTCCTCATACTTTACAAACGTTTGAAGGAAATCGAGTGTCCCAAATTCAAGCTCTAATACCAAGAGCTATTTGGAGATACGTTCCATCATCACTAAATCCTGCTGATGCCGCTAGTCGAGGTCTTTACCCCTCTGAACTAGCTAAAACCATCTTGTGGTGGTCTCCACCTTGGCTTGAAGGTGATTCTTCGACATGGCCTGGAGACACACCTACGTTGAGCCAAGCGAATTTACCTGGTCTGAAATTACCATCCCCTATATCACACATTGCTAAGGTTAACGTCGATTTACCTTTCTTGCACAAATTCAGTTCCCTTCGCAAGCTACAGGCTGTTGTAGCTTGGTGTAAGCAATTTTTGCATAATTCACGCAATCCAACGAAGCGACACACGGGATCACTATCTGTTTCCGAATTGAACGATAGTTTGAATACCATTATATCAACTGTACAGTCGGAAGAATTTTCTTCAACAATTTCGTTGTTGCGTAATGGGAAACCTCTCAAAGATAGCCTTCGACGTCTTAATCCATTTCTTGACTCTCAAAATTTGCTGAGAGTAGGTGGTCGGATTGTAAACTCATCTTTATCATTTAACGCTAAACATCCACTTTTGCTTCCGAAGGCACATCACGTTACTCGCTTGCTCATTGATCATTATCACCAGGCATTCCTACACCCTGGTGTCAATACTCTTTTAAATCTACTGCAACGTAAATTTTGGATTTTATCAGCACGCCGTGCAATCCGTCGGCAAATATTTCAATGTCAACATTGCTATAGATTACGTCCCAAGGCGACTGAACCTTTCATGAGTGATTTACCTCCTTCTCGAGTCACATCTTGCAGACCCTTTCAAAGAGTTGGAGTGGATTTTGCAGGTCCTTTTCTTCTGAAAATCTCGCGACTGCGCAACGCTCGATCTGTTAAGGCATATTTATGTTTATGGATTTGTTTCACCACCAAAGCTGTCCACTTGGAACTGGTTTCCGAGCTGTCGACAGACGCCTTTTTAGCTTGCTTTGATCGCTTCGTATCGCGAAGGGGTCTTCCCACCGATGTTTACAGTGACTGTGGTACCAACTTTGTTGGAGCTAACAACTACTTGAAAGAAGTTACACAATTACTCAAAAACTCGCATGATGACATAAAACATTCATTAGCCAGTCGACAAATTGTATGGCATTTTAATCCTCCTGCCAGTCCACATATGGGCGGTTTATGGGAGAGCGCGATTAAATCTGCAAAACTTATTCTTCTTCGTGTTATAGGCGATCGCTCACTTCTCTTTGAAGAGCTCCTCACTGTTTTTAGCAAAATAGAAGCCGCGTTGAATTCTCGACCGTTATATCCCCTAAGTAGCGATCCTAACGATCTAGAAGTCTTAACGCCCGGCCACTTCATCATCGGTCAGCCGCTATTGGCTTTGCCTGAGCAAGACTTGGAGCAGATAAATTTTAATACTCTCAAACGATGGCAGCTTTTGCGCCAGATTACTCAGCACTTCTGGAGGCGTTGGCAAGCTGAGTACCTACATACTCTACAGCAGCGACCTAAGTGGCTTGCCAAGATTTCAAATTTTCAAGTTGGTGATTTAGTTCTTATCAAGGATCCCAACTTGCCACCGCTTCACTGGAAGAAAGCTCGTGTGACTCGCATTTGCCCGGGTTCTGACGGCACTGTTCGCGTCGTAGAATTAAAAACTTCTACTGGCACTCTACTTAGACCAGTAGTCAAGCTTTGCCCTTTGCTGCCATCTTTCAATTAAGAAAAACAATACTTATTTTTTTTGTTTAGGTAGTAGTAATAACTTTAGTTTTTAGTAAGCAACATTTTTTTTTTTTACTCTTTTGTTTACGTCAACCTTTTAGCAAATTTCAAAGGGGTTCGTTTAAATGAAAGAGCTAAGCCGCTCTTTGGGGGGCGGTATGTTAGGTACACATTCTTTACTTGACATCATTATACATATCTTCCTACCGTCACATCCTAAACTCCTTCGATATTCCTTACCTGGAGGTAGTACTCAAAAAAGCTTCAACGGCCGCGTACGGCGATGGGACGAGCTCCGCATTCTCCCCATCAAATTTAAGACTACGCGTCAAAGTTATCGTGCGAAACGCAATAAACTATCTTATTTTACAATTACAAACTTTAAGCAAATCACCCGGTGTTGTGTGAAAGTGATTGGTGTACAAAACGCGACTTAAGAACCCACGCGGGACAACGGCGAACCAGGTAGTCCATCCACCCTTATATACCTTATATATCTTTACCCAACAAAGTGTGCCAGTAATTATTGAAACTGCAGTCAAATTCATCTATTTACTTAGTCCAGAATAAGTTACTAAATATAACCTAATAAACTGCTGTGAGATAATGTAATCCAAGTCCATTAATTTTGGCGCTTTTTTTACAAATTTACCCCGCTGCTATTGTGGCGCCACCCTAATACGCATTTCAATGGACATTTTTCTTACAAAGAGATGGTTCTCCTTACCTTTACCCGCCATAGCTTCACTGTATTCAGCTTAATAAATAAAGTATAGATCAAAATATCCACAGACGATAAATTAATTATTACTGCTACAATTAATTTCCAAAGCAACCACCAGGGAAATGTAATTAATTTTTTTTTTAATTATTTTTTAATGGATTTTTTTGCGGATTTGTTTTGATTTTTGAGAAACTTAATCTCTCTCGAGTCGGGAACAAAAAACCTCAATAAATCCAGGAAAAAGTCTAAAAGGATAATTATTTTATTTAAAATGTTAAATATTGGCGTAAATCTACGGAAATATTTTGCATAAACTTGCTTTAAAAGTATACTAGTTGACCTGACAAATCCCCCGTCCTGTTTTGTTTTCAATAAATTTATTTATGATCTAGAAGATCATACAAAAATTATGTATATAGAAAAAAGCATATTCAGTTTCACTCGAACATCGCAATTTTCCGCGCAACTCTTCCAAAACCCTTATTAGGGTATTATTACTTTTATTAATTTGTTATATCTTTTAAATTAACTTTTAACAAAAATGGTGGCGGAATTAAAAAAAAATTTATAGTGTTTCCAGTAACTTTGTTAAAGCAAAAATGTACACTAGGTATATATTCATAAAAAAAGTCACAAAACGTTCATTCCATCATCTTTATAATGTAAAGTAGAATAAATAATATATTTTTAATATTTATCCAAGAAAAGTAAATACAACATTCTATACAGTTTAAAGCTTACGTGATATTATACATTTCGTTTTATTGCTAAGTGTAAAAAATAAGCAATACATTCTTTCTTTCATTTTCTAAATCGATTATACCGATATTAAAAAAATCGATTTCATGTAATCGGATATAAATTAAGTCAGGACCTAATCGATTTTAGATATTGGATGTGTAAATCTTTTGATAAAATACCTTTTTTATTTGTGCGTCATAAAATATAATAAAAAAATAAAAATCATAAACTCTTTTTAATATCGTAGACATTTTTTAGTGTTTTTACAAGTAAAAAAATATTTTGTTATATTGCAATAACATATTTATTTATTGTTTAAAGTAATAAAGAAATAACAAACCTCTAAAAATTAAAAATGTAAAAAATGAGCATTTTTCTTTAAATCAGTTTCATAAAATAAATTTAAATAAATATTATGCATGTGATGTTGTCATTATTTTATATAAAAAATTGTGCGATATTTACTAGTATTTGTGATTTTACGTTAAAGAAGCATCTAGAATTATAAAATCCATTGTTATTTCAGGGTAACATTGAATTAATAAAAATTATAAAAAAAACATTACTTTTCATAGATAAGTTAAATCATATATATTTTTGTTTAAATAAAAAAAAACGTGCTTTTTTCTCAATAACGAACATTCAATATTTATAAAAACACAAAATCATTAAAGCATTCATAAAACACAATATCATTTAAAATATTGCCGACAATAAATATTTAAAAAAAATAGAAAAAAAAATACATTACAACTATGGAGGGTAGAGGAAAGGAATACTATCTTATATTTACTGGAAAAAGTGTCCATCTGTATGCTGAAAATAGATGGCGCTGGCATACGAAAACTATAATATGAATTATTTAGCCGTTGTAGACGGAATTAAGTGCGCTAAGTTTCATGACAGGAGTAGTTTATGAAACACACAGTACACTCAAAACCTCAACTATTTACGCCGTTTAACATAATTTAGTAAATATTGAAAATAAGCGTTGGGACATTAACACACAGCACCATCTAGTTCCATGGTAAGCTGCGAGGCCTGTGTTATGGATACCAGATAATTGATACACTACACATATATAACTTTAAATACTTTTTTTACTCTTCCTCCCCTCTACCCTCTATAATTACAGCAAAAACTTAAAACTTAGTAATTCACTTCCGGATGATATTTGGACATGTGGTAGTTCAAACTGGACTTTTGCACAAACGCCTGGTTACAAACTTTACAAACTTTCCTTCTATCACCAGTGTGGATCCTTTCATGTAAATCCAACGTCGTCTTCCTCAAAAACGACTTCGGACAAAACTTGCAATGATAATCCTTTGAGGTTTTATGTTTAAATTTGTGTTTGTACATACCTTCGAAACTAAAAGATTCATAATCACACAGAGGACACTTATATTTCTCACCTAACATGTGAAAATTATTTATGTGCTTCCTCAATTGCACTTTTGTGTTGAAAGTACCTTTGCAAGCGTTACAATTGAATCTTTCGTCTATATTGTGTTCTTCCAGCTTATGTATTGTGAACGGAGCCAATGTCATGAACTCTTTCGAGCAATGAGAACACTTGTACTGTGGAATTTTGTAATGCTTCGTCTTTATATGGAATCTGAGCGAGCATATCTTGTAGTAAACCCTCTCGCAATGGCTGCACACCACTCTGTCGCCATCTTTTTTATAATCACCTGGTTGTAGCCGAAATTTCATTCCTGAAGACAAAGAAAATTGATTTTTTTTTTACTTTTCGTTTTGGTTCCACTTCGACGTTTTCGAGTTACTGTTGGGTTTTAATGTCAAACTTCTTCAAAGGTCCATGAGTTTCTTTCTGATATTGTTTTTTTTTATAAAATTCCACTATATGATATATTAAATCTCAAGATAAGACTAGTGAGCGTCAAATAATAATGTAGACAGATAGTGATCTTCAAAAACAAACACTTATCACGATGTAATGTAATTGCAATAAACGATTGATTTATTTAAAAAAAGTTAATATCCCTTAAATACAGTTACTTTTTTTCGTGACAGATAATAAAAGGGTCATACGCAAAAAAAAAACTAATACTTAGCTGTGGTTAAGATTTACACGAATATTTGACATTTAAAAAACGCCGTGAACCAAAAAGCTAATAAACTCGCGAAAAAGTTTTATTTTAAAATAAATATCTTCATTTTAGAGATTATTTGTAGATTGATTTAATATCAGAATAAAAAATACAACAAATGATGAGGCCTCTTATAAATATCTTTATATTTAAAGGCCCCTTTTAAATAATAGAGGCCTTTACAATAACAGAAAACAAATTATATTTATCTTATAAATCTTTCCAATAAATACATTTTCATTTTTTTTTAATATTATGAAAACGTAAATATAATAATTCTTTGTTTTACGCGATTATTTGACATTTTAAATTAAACAATTTCTAGCTATTTTATTGGAATTTTTTTCGACATAGTATCGTATGTCTCTTCTTATCTTAAACCTAACGTCCCTAGGTACGTTTTAACGGTTAGTATGGTATAGAATTAAACAAACTATATTTTATATGATATATAGACTATAGCTTCCCTCAATAAACGGGCTATCTAATGCAAAAATAATTTTTCAAATCGGATTAGTAGTCTGAGATTAACGCGCGCGTTCAAATAAACAAACTCTACCTCTATATAATATTAGTATAGATATCTAATTTTTTTTTTGGATTTCATATTTATTTTTTTCTATTATTATATACATTTAGAAAAAAAGTAAAAATTCCTTTATTTTATAATACAGCAATATAATAACGGAAACGCGGTCGAAAGGTAGATATTATTGTTTTTTTGTTTATATATATTTTTAACACAAAAAATATATTTCAATAATAAACTTACTTTTCGACTGTCTCTCCTTTTTACATTTCTTCTCTTCGTCCGTTCTTCTTGGAAGGCCCGGCTTTTTAAGTTTTTTATTCGTTTTCATATCTTTATCACATTTGTCTGTTTTCATTATATTCCTTTCGTCATCAGTACATTCTAATTCCTCTGAAAAAAAAAATATTTTTTTTAATTAAACTACAATCATTATTAACTATATTTTTATTCACACGAAATTTACATCGCTCATGCATAATTTTTTGATAAGAAAATATTGTTTTTTTTCTTTATTTTATACAAAACTATCGAACGTGCGTCTTTTTTTTTTATCGTCGGGAAATGCTTTTACGCATACCACCTGATCCCCAGGTGGTGATGTGGGGCTCACCGGCTAAAAGAGCTGGTACTACCCACTAAAACCCGACATCCCTTCCCCCCGCCTAGTGGGACGCCGCAGGATCGCTTGCGCATAACTACTACGACGCCCCGGCGGCAGGTCTGCCTAAATACTAGGCAGACCACCAAACCAATGGGGTTGCTCCACAGTCAACTCTGCTACGTCAGAGAGGTACCCGGAGCAGCCCCATAAAACCAAAACACCGCCCACCGAAGTGGGCCACCTCCAATCGGCTGCAGAGGACAGGGAGAGCGGCAACGAAACACCGACACTCCTCTTCCCCTGCAGCCCCACCGCGTCCGCCATCAAACGGTGGCGGCCCCGTCTAGGCCGCGGAAGGTAGGGAGAACGGCGCACCGAAATACCGGCACTCCTCTCCCGCCCCCTCCGCCGAATGCGGGCCTGCGACCACAGTCCCGCAACCGACTCCCATCATCCGGTTGTGGGACCAAGCGGTACCACCCGCCCCTCTAAGCGGGTGGCATGCCCCTATCCGCCACCTGGGGACGCGCCCGGTAGGAGTTGGCTTCTCCCCCGGGTCGAACGTGCGTCCTAAGGTAGCTAATATTAACCTATATTTTTGACACGTTTGGCTCAGTTTGTGTGACCCTACATGCTGTGCCAACGGTGGGAGTTCGAGTCCCGCTGGGGGCATTCATTTGTGTGATGAGCACGAATGTTTGTACTCCAATTATGGGTATTTATATTTACAATATGTATGTATTTAAAGTTATGTACATATGTGTAGTGTATCAACTATCTGGTATCCACAACACAGACATCGTAGCTTACCATGGAACTAGATGGTGCTGTGTGTTAGTGTTCCAACATATTTATTATATATTTACTTCATTTTATATATTACACCAATTCATAGTATAGATTTATTAAAATCCGTTCAGCCTTTTAAGCTATTACCAAACATACATACAAACATTAACATTTTAGTATTAGGTACTAGCGGCTCATCCTCGCTTCGCTCGGGTTCGCCTCTAGAAAAACAAAAACAAATCTATTCCACGGGAACCGTACATTTTTCTGGGAAAAAAGTAGCCTATATGTTTTATTCCAGAATATAATCTATCTCTGTGCCAAATTTCATCCAGATCAGTTCAGCCGTTCTGGCGTGAAAGAGTAACAAACATCCATACTCACAAACTTTTACATTTATTATAATACTTGTTTAGATATAAATTGTGATAAAATGATTAGATTAAATTTTTTTGTGGTATTAATCTTCAATTGGCTTTTACAACCTTTTGTTCACCCCACCTATCTATATATTACTCTGAGTTATCTATTAAGGAAATATTTTTCAAAATCGGTTCAGCAGTTCTGCAAATTATCATCTACATACAAACTCCCAAATTTAACCTCTTTACAAAAATAGTTTTGATTAAAAAAAGGTGATAAATACCTTTATCATCATCATAACCATCTTCATCACTTAAATGAAAGTCTTCATCGCCATTATCGTCCATGTGTGGTGTTTCTTCTTTGAATACTACAAAGAAATATGGTATATATTATATTATAATATTATAAAGAGAAAAAAATGTTTTTTGTGTTTGTTTGTATCGAATAGGCTCCGAAATCACTGAACCGTTTTAGATGAAATTTGGTAAGAAGATAGTTTGAGACCCTGGGAAAGACATAGGATACTTTTTTTGATAATTAGCTTTAATTTCTAAATACAAATTAAACTAAAAAGGGGTTATAATTAGGGTAACTTAAAAATATTGTGTTACATCCCAAACATAGAGCATTAGAACTTTACCCTTGGGTTTTTTTTTAAATTTTATTATATTACAAACAGAACCTGTAAGCAGATGTTTTGCTGACATAGAGCTTGTTTGGTCGATAAAATAAAAAAATGGACTTTGAAAACAGCGCCACCTTTTGGATAAAACTATAGCTAGGAACCATTCAAGGTACCCACAAGTGTCCAAAAAATATATCTCAATTTATTTAGAAGGAGAAGAATATGCAAACCCGAATAGAATTAACCTTTTCTGTATAATTTTGATTATAAATTAATATAAAAACATACCTTCTACATCAATATCCAAATCTTGTGCTTCCTCCTTAACAACTGGCATTATGCTAGAATTAAACACTAAAATAAAAACAATATGTATTAAAATTAGAATAGATTATGTTATTAACTAAATAATTACAAGATAATTTACATAAAAAATATTTCTTTTTATGAAATAAAAGTTAAAAAATCAAGAAAAAAAAATGTTACAAATATTGAATAAAAAAAAAATATTATACTTTATATGTAATGAATATAACAAGTTTGTTGAGTACTCAAATGAAATAATTTAAAGGGGAGGCCCTTTTTGTATTTTTATACAAGGGGCCATTCAAGTATTACGTAAGCACCAAAGGGGGCAAGGGGTCTTTGCTTAGCTTATTTTTTAATGACAAAGGGGAGTGAGGGGTTAATAATTACTAAAATTCTTCTGACGTAATGAAACATACTTGCATATTTTAAATATCGTGTTTAGAAAATTGACATGCTTTAAAGATGATTGGAGTTATGCTTTACAAAAAATATTTTTTTAATTATTGGACATCCTTTGTCATTTACATTTACTGGTAGTATTAGTGTGTTTCCACAAAATATTAATTCCACTAGATAACTTGTTACTTAAATATATTTATGCATATAATAAAAATGTAACTAAGCCGAATTTGTACATTTTATATTTTTTGGAAAATCTTATTGAAATAGACATTATCTGTACTAATATTATAAAGAGGTAAAGTTTGTGAGTTTATGAGGTTGTAGGCAATAATCTCTGGATGTAATGAACCGATTTAGAAGAAATTTGGTAAGAAGTTAGTTTGAGACCCTGAGAAAGACTTAGGATATTTTTTATCTCGGAAATCAACCATTAAGGGGGTGAAAATGGGGATGAACATGTGTATGGGGAATCAACCTACCTAGTTATCAATACAGAGGTCAAATCTGTTTTTGGAATTTTTGTCTGTCTGTCTGTGAATGCTCCAACAGAAAACCACTGGACAGATTTTGATAAAATTTGGTATGATGATAGTTGGTGATCTGGGTCAACATATAGGATACTTTTTACTGTGGAAAAATATCTCATCTCTGAGGAATCTATACTAAATGTTAAAATGTAACTAAGGGCAAGCCCAAACAAAGTGAGGGTGAGTTGCTAGTAATAAATAATTTTGAAATATAGCACATTGTATTTTACAACTAAGTAATTTAGTAAGAGATACCTTTTATCCTATTTGTATAATACATGTCAAGGAACCTCTCCTCGCAGTTCTTAACCTGTTTTCTAAAATTACTGGCATTTCTAAGTTTCTTTATACAAGCTTTACATATTTTATATGTCAGAGCACACAATTCTCCTGGAACTGGAGCAATCTGAAATAAAACAAATTAATAAATAAATAAATAATCATCTTATCACTTTTTTTATACTATTACTAGCAGTACATCGCGATTTCACTCTCGTTATTTTTTTTTATTTTTAACATCAATTTTACAACAATGCGTGGAATTCTGCCTGAATTGTTGACATTTATGGTAGTAGCATGACGGTATATAGCCCATAGCTTTTTTCAATAAATGGGCTATCTAATGCAAAAAGATTTTTTCAAATCTGATTAGTAGTTCCTGAGATTAGGGCGTTCAAACAAACAAACTATGCCTCTTTATAATATTAGTATAGATAAGTAATAATATAAGCTAACACTATGTTAATATTTGATATATTAAAATTAAAAATATACATTTGTTTTATTTGCTATATAAAAGTAAATCATTATGTAATTCTAACGAAATAGCTTTAACATATATTTTTCAAATAACCTTTTTGTTTATATTATGTTACTGCTATCAACAACATTATACATATGGGTTAATAAAAATTCTAATTTATTTTTTAAGTATAGCACAAATTAAATAAGAAGTAACTTTACTTTGTTTATTATTTCGGTTTAGCTTTTATATTTTATAAGAATATCGTTTGAAGTTTAATGTGATTATTTATAATATCAAATAATAAAAACATTATTTTGTAGAAAAATTAACCAAACCACAAATAGGAATCCTGTAATTGTAACATATCATAATATTAAGAAATCTTTTGATTAATCGTTAAACTTACTTCAATATTAAAACATTCCTTTAGCATATCTGAATAAATTTCTACTTGTTCTAAATAAGTTTGCGGAACCGCCAAATTGTCAAAGCCGCCTTGTGCGTGACAACACCGACATAAATCGCTTTCTAAATTTAATGTTTCAGACATTTTATTTACTAACAATCCTATTTAATTAACATTATTTTATAAATAAACAAACAAATAATCGCTTGAGTTTACATCTATCACAATTTACAGATGGCTTCTTTCGCCCATTTTATTTTTTTAAACTTCGTTGTCTATGCTTTAGGGATGGATGTCTTGGTCCTTGGATGTGGGAATAAAATTAATCGATTCTAAAATATTATTTTGTCTAAATGTTTTTATTCGATATATTCTTATTACTTCCTAAAAAAATTGAAATACAGGAATAATAATTAAACGTGTGTAAATTAAAATAAATCGAAACCTATATTTTATATTTTTCTGTCTAGAAAACCAATAAAGATGTGTTTAATTTTTAGTCCATATTACTTTAAAAAGCTCCTTTAAAGTTTTACCTTTTTTAAAATCATTTATATCTATATATAAAAAAAAGTCGTGTTAGTTACACTATTTATAACTCCAGAACGGCTGAACCGATTTGGCTGAAAATTGGCGGGGAGGTAGCTTAGAACCTAGAGACGGACATAGGATACTTTTTATCCCGTTCGACTGCGTTCCCGTGTGATATTACTTGTCTGTTTGTCTGTTTGTACGGGCTAATCTCCGAATCTATTGGACCGATTTAAATGAAATTTTGCATGGTGGTACCTTATATCCCCGGACAACGTCTAAGATATTTTTTATCCCGGAAAATATAATGGTTCCTGTGGGATAGTTAAAAAACTATTATAACTTATACAACTTATGCACCTAATTTAGTAAAATTTAACATTCTGATACCTTATATTGCCGGTCAAACAACCGGTTACTTTTCATCCGGGAAAAATGAACGGTTCCCGTGGGAACTAATAGATTTTTATTAGTGTTTTTCTAGAGGCGAACCCGAGCGAAGCGAGGATGAGCCGCTAGTATTTTAAATAAATAGATCTTGACCTATCTATAGTGTAATATGCTCAAAGTTAATGGAAATTTAAATAATAATTAACACAAACTGTGCAGAAATGCTATATATTTCATAACAAAAATTTGTGAATAATGGGCATTCTAAGATTTATTTCCTTGCGTTTTTTTTATTGCTGACGGTTTTTAAATGCTTTACAGCAAACACCATCATGGGAGAGACTAATGTTTAGTCACAAAAGTCCAGATTATTGTATAATTTTCTGGGTAGATACCATATGAAATAACTAGACTTTGGGAGTCATCAAAACCCCAAGTTCACTCAAAAAAATAAAACATCAAAAAATAGTTTTATTTAAAACATAGTAATATGTATTTTATTTCTAACTAGCACTGCCCGTGACTCCGCCCGCGTTCGGATGACCAAAAACCAAATTTTTAGGGTTTACAGATTAGTACTCTTACATTGCAGTTTTTGCATATTTTCTCAGAAATGAGATAATTTTCCCGCGGTAAAAAATATTCTTTATGTTGACCCGGATAAATAACTATCATTATACCAAATTTCACCAAAATCCCTCCAGTGAGTTTTCTGTGATGCGGTAACAGACAGACAGACAGACAAAAATTCTAAAAACTATAGATTCGGCCTCAGTATCGATAATAATGTCTATTTAAATAAAATTTTCCAAAAAATTTTTAATGTACAGATTCGGCTTAGTTACACTTTTATTAAATGTATAGATTAGTTTTCTATTCGAATTAAAGATCGAGAATTAAACGGAAAGTCCTATGGTATGGTCTTATTTTTTATGTCAAAGAAAATGGATAAAATAAAGAAAAACGCAAACAGCTATCCTTTGAACATATACTATTTTTCATGACGCTTCATCCACAAACCTATAAAACCAACTTTTTAAATAATTTAAAAATAAAACATCTAATCGATAATAAATTTATATTTATAATAATAATAATAAATTATGGCAGATGATACTCCAATTCCAAATGATGAGTCTTTACATGTCCTTTCAAACTACACTTCTGTACGAAGGCTTGCCCACAGACTGCACAAGAGAACCGTCTATCATTATTATGTATTCGCATGTGTTCTCTTAAAGTTTTCTTTCTTGCATAGGATTTTTTACATACAGAACACTCATGTATCCTCTCTCCGTTATGTTTTATCATATGAACTCTCAATTCGTTGTTCGTAAAGCACTTATAAGCACATAATTGACATTGAAAATCTCTTTCTTCCAGATGGTCTCTCTTCATATGTCTTGATAATGTATAGCGTCTGTCAAAGGCTTTGTCGCACACATTGCACTTATATCTCAAAGGCGCAGACCCATGGGTCTCTACCAAATGCTTCTGCCTCCTGAAATATTCTGAGAATCGTTCGGGACATTTTGGACATTTGAAACGTTTTAACATCTTATGCACTGTGTCCACGTGATTTTTATGTTTTTGGTGAGTCGTAAACACTTTTTTACACACTTCACAGGGAAAACTTCCGCCAACATGCATGCTTTTTATGTGAACTTTCAATCTGTATTTTGTGACGAAGCCAGTACCGCACTGATTGCACACATAGTTCCTGTAATGAACGTTCATATGTCTTTCTATTGATCCAAACGTCTCAAAATTACAGCCGCAGGATAAACATTCATAGGGATGTTTATTATTAGACAATTTAAACGGTATGACTCGATCCGTGTATTCTGGATGAATCTTTTTCTTGTGTATTTTAATAAGATGTGCTTTCAATTCATTCAAATTTGGTATATTCTCATTGCAAATGAGACATTTTAGATCTGTTATATCTGCATACACTACAAGGCACTCCGTCCCATATCTGGCAACAATTTTTCTCGTTTCCGACTTTTTATGGCCTGTTGTTTGATGCTCTCTTAACAAGTCGAAATTTTCATATGAACTTCTGCAGTAAAAGCATGGAAATCCCACTCTATTCTTACTTTTGAAAACTGTTATGTTAGAATATTCTATTATCATTGTGGTGTTTTGGATTTGAGCCATTTTTTCTGTTACATATACTTTTTTTCTAGATGAATCTTCATTATCCTCTTCCAAAAGTTTCGCTACCATTTTTGGTAGAACGCGTTTGCCTGTAAAGAAAATCACTTTTTAGTAAGCATCGGTCAACATTCCATTAAAACATACTTACACAAAAATTGTAGGATATAATAAAATTCAGAAATTCGTTTCGAATATTTTACAGCAGTCTTAGTCACAGGAAAGTCTCTCCCGAAAAGGATATTCTTATTTAAAATTAGCGACTCGTCCCTAGTTCAACGAATAGTGTAGATTTCTTAGAAATGAGATATTTTCCCGCAGTAAAAAGTATCTTATTTGTTGACCCGGATAGCCACTAGCCAGCTACATTATAAGCATTTAATTTATTTGTTTATGTTTGGAAACAAAAATATAATTTTGAAAACATTTACAGAACACACATAAACCAATAAAGTTTCCACTAATATATGTCTATCAGGTAAATGAGTTTTCAGAAAGGAAAAGAGCAGCAAAAACAAAATGACAAAAATTTGGCGACTGCCGACAGAAGTGAAAACATGTACTTTGGAACTGTGTTTTCTTTTATAAATTAATTAAAGCATGGGGTCTCATCACGAACAAGGAAAAAATAGTTCAAATAAATGTCAATAGATGACGTTACATGTATCGATTTGTTATTGAATTTGTGTTAAATTAACAAAAGATAAAAAAAAAACCAAAAAGATTTATTATTGTATTAAAAACTATTATTGACTCAAGCAACCAAAAATTTGCCCGAAGAATAGCCCGAATTAGCGCTGTCCAATTTCTTTATATGAGATGAAGCATACTAGTATAGTATTATGTGATCTGTGATTATAGTATGCATAATTAAAATTTATTAATTTGTAAATTAAAATTATTATTAGTCTGGTTTTCACATCCATTGGAACTCCGAGTAATAATTATATACATTGTCATATAGTTTATTTATTAATCAAAACTATCAGACCGCCCCAGACTGCGTCGACACGTCACATGTCATACGTAGAGTGTCGGTGACCCACCCAACGCGACTAAAGAAGTTTTAACTTCAAAAATTGACAATAATTTAACCAAAATGAATTTTTATTATACCTTTGAGTAAATCCAACTGTATAGCGAATCCCTTACAAGGTGTCGTGTACAAAGTTTTGCGCGTTGGCAATTTATACGTCACCGGAAACCGCGCCAGCAGTTCCGCTTCGCCATCGATTTTCTCAATTTTATCATCATCTTTCAATTCTGAAAAAAATTGTTATTTCTATTCTAATTCTTTTAATTTTAATAATTATTATTCTATATTTATATAAATAACTGATTCCCCATAACAACTTTCATCATTCATTTTCATGCTCTCGCGGATTTTTTTGTGGAATCGTTATTTAGAACTAGTGGCTCACCCTCGCTTCATTGTTAAGTATTCCTAAATAAGTATTCTTAACTTTTATAATTTTCCGCGCAATTTTTTAATTTTTTTCTTTCATAAGAACCTTCTCCTGACAATAACAAACACAACAAAAAAAATATAGTTAAATCGGTCCAGCCGTTCACGCATGATGGCGTGACCAAGGGAAATAGGGATTCATTTTTATATATATAGATTACACATTATAATTTTAAGGGTTTTCAACTTTCGCACTGGAACCCTAAATATTTCAGGAATAAAACATAACCTATATATAGCCCTACAAACTCTTCTATATATCAGTGAAAGTCTCATTACAGTTGGTTAAGTAATATCAAAGAGTACCCAGGATAAACAGTAGGACAGACAGACGAAAAAATGAAAGTGTTATTTGGTTACTGGCATCATATAAATAACATAGTTATTGTGAAATCACAGAGAGACACTTCAATTTTATTTATACGTATACATGTATACATTTAACCTGATGATGATGATGTTCTCCTAGCCGATTCCGGCCACGGCGGCCAATCTCAATGAGATTAGCCAACTGCGCAGGAGATATTATAGTGCTCAAGTGTACGCGCAGACACAAGTGCACTCTCTATTCCTATCACTCTCATACTCCGGTGGGACGACCACTCGACACGACCGGTGAGAGTTAAGGCGCAGGACCGACGGCTTTACGTGCTCTCCGAGGCACGGGGGTGAAACACCGCCAACTTCCCAACTCCGGGCTGTTACTGAGACTTACTATACAGGAAGACTCAATAACTAAACTTGGCCCGACCCGGGACTCGAACCCAGGACCTCCGGGTGTGCAGCCGTACATGCTAGCCACTACACCACCGAGGCAGTTGACATTTAACCTACGTATATAATAAAAATAGATCCACAATCGCTAAAGATATTAAAAAAAAGTACACATGAAGACTGTCGACAGAAGTGAAAACTTAAAACTATAAACAAACAGTTGTTATTTTTGGATATTCAAATTAATTTTTTCATCTTAAATTGAAATTTGTAAATTAAAACTGTTTACATATATCTGGTTTTGACGTCTATCAGCACTCTGAGTGTTAGCGGTAACATGTCACGTGACCATGTCGATGACTACTTACATGAATTTACTCCCCATCCAAACCTGCCTATAGGAGTTTTCACTTCAATATTTCCTTATTTTTTTAAAGCCAAATACAAAACTTAAATAAAAATAACAGTACTGAGTAAACTGATAGGTTACATAAAATCACCATTATCATCATCAAAAGACGTAAACTCCAAGTCGCAATCCATACTATCATCTGGCTCCATCTTCACTTCCATTTGGTTTTCTGGCTTGATGTTCATATCAGTTTCTATATCACCCACTGAAAAAATGTAAAATGTATGTATAATAAACTACAGGTAGTGGTAGCCCAGTGGTAATGGGCTCGCTTGGGAAATCAAGTGAAGCAGGTTCAAAGGGTTTCGCACCTCTGATATTTCCATGTGCGAATTATTTCCAACATGATTATTGTCTTACGGTGAAGGACAACATTGTGAGGAAACCTGCATGTCGGTGAGAACGCAATAAGTTTTCGAAAGACATGTGAAGTTCGCTAACACCCAATTGGCTGGTGAAACATTTAATGAAGATTATATTTGAAACAGAAAATTCACTATATCTTTCTACATAATAATTGTGCAAACCATTAGAGCATATTTTAATATTTTTACTTTAAATCTACCTTACTGGATGACAGACATACGGAACTTACCATTAATAAACACTGTTTCCTTATCCAACATATTAGAAAGTAACCGTTGCTCTGCGTTAACCACCATCATACGAAATCTATTTGCATCTCTTAAGCTCTGAATACAGGTGCTACATATGAGAGGGCTTAATTGTTTGTTTGTAGATAACTGCAACATATATTTGATATTTTTTTACATATATTATGGATATGGTCAAGAAGTTTAAAATTTGAAAATTAAACTATTTCATGTATAGGTTAAAATTTATCTTGCCTAACAATATTCTTGACAAAAAATATGGGACTTATGCTTAATTACTACATTCAAAAAGGAAAACCAGTATAAATAGTTCTACAATTTATAATATTAGTAAGAATTAGATTATATGAAATTATACCATACTTACATATATATTAAAACATTCCATGAATATATCGATGTACACTTCGCGAGTACCATTAGTAAAATATTCTTTCATGATATCCCTATGATAGCCCTTCATTAAACAAAATCTACATTGCCCATAAATTGTGTTGCTTCGTCTTTCCATGATTATTGTGAGAGCGGCCATAGTTGTGAATAACTTGAATATTTCAATGTATACAAATATTTAAAATAATATTAGGTAAACAAACATTTTTCAATAGCCCTAATGGATTCCTATTTCCGATTAAAATAATAATAAATAATAATCGACATTCGACAAATCACACAACTAAATTTAATACCTAAATATTTTTATGACAAGTGACAGTTCTTAGTTTGGATTCTAGTCTTTTAGAAAATAATAATTTAGCGTAACAAGTGCAGAAAAATGAAATTATAATTTTAATAAGTTTTTAATTTTCCACATAACCAAGATAAATCACAAAGGAAATCGTTTTTAAAGGGAATTTAGCTGATTTGTTTGTTATTCCAATATTATATTATACTGATGCAACCAGTTTATATATATTTTTTTATAAAGTCACGGATGATACATTTTTCTCTTCTATGCCCAAAATGCTTTTAAATTGTTGTTTTATTAAACAGCCATTCAATGCTACGACGTGTGGTAATTTTTATTTAATATAATTTTTGAATATAAATTAATTCAAGAGTTCATAACATCAATTACCAAACTGCAAAATATTTTTTTTACTAACACACTATTGTTTGCCTAAGTTATTTGTATAACAAGGTAGATGTAATTAATAAAAAAATCTCATTTTTATTTAAATAAAAACCATGTGGGTAAAGTAAAACAGAAATATATTCTCGGCCAACAAACACTGTATCTATCAAACTTGTAGCTAAGCTATACCTTAAATTATGAAGCGTGTGTTTAAACGTTATCAAAAACTTACTATATCAGATTAATAATTAGTAGGAAAGTCATACAGATTTAATTTTATAGCAAAAAGCAGTATTTATTATTTACTTAAACCAAATTATTTCTTATCTAACAAATCAACATAAGCACACTCTATGAGATCTTCATCTTTTACACCAAGCTTGATTTGCAAATCCTTAGCAATAGCTTGGCCTTCTTCTAATGACTGTTCAGGATGCAATACCACTTCTAGTTCCATAAAGTTGCCAAGATCTTGCACTGCATCTATGTGAACTCGAGTCTGACCCACCATATACAGCTTACTGTAAAAGATAATTTGTTAACTATATTTTTTAATTCTTTAATTATAAAAATTCATTTCAAAATTGTAAGCATTATTGTAAGACTGCTTTGAAATATATCTTGTATTTTATAGACATATATTACAGATAGAATATTATAATGGATTTGTATAATTATTTACTTGTAAAACAAAAAAAATACACAAACCGTTCCTTCACAACTTTTCCACGGGTGCCGACACATTTTGTTAGCATGTTATCCAATAACATAGCTTTTTCCTTTTCATTTTTTGAAAATTGTAATAGATTATAATCACAAAGCTTCGGTCCCTCTGTATCATCACGATCGTATCTTACGAGAGTCGCAGATTCATCAGCATAAAATCTTAACTTCAAGCGACCGCTATTTACTTTGTAAAATGTATCGTCTTGTTGGATGATTGTTGGTTTAGTACCGCTTAAATTTTCAGCAATCTTGCAAATAGATTCTATATCGTGGACTTTAGCTTTAATTTCTACGTTACGCATTTTAATTTTTAATTTAATGATAAATAAAATTCACACAACGAAATAAAATTCTAACTTGAAATCTTGATAATCATGGATGATGTTGATAATTGATTCAATTCTTTAGGTTTGTGGCTTCTAGGAGTGCCTTTGGGCACAATGTTGATAATTGAAATAACTGATTGAAATTTGAAAGTTGAATTGAAACGTCAAAATTTGCGGGAAAATTGGAGCTAAGTGTTGTTCATTAATTTATAAAATCAATACATACGAATAATCGATATAGCAATTTTTTTTTCAATTTAATAAACCCATTGAAAATGAATTACATTATTTTATAATTTGATACGAGTGATTTAAACTGTTTCAATTTCAAAAGATATGTTTGTGAATTAAATAAGGAACGAAAAAGAAAACCGAGAAGTTCATAACTACTGTCAGTTGTCAATGTCAATTGTCACGTGACAGTTGACACATTTTTATTTATTTTTATATTGGATTTGGATCATATTGTAAAGTTAAACATTTTTTTAAATAAACATAAGAATATAATTAATATTATGGATTTTGAAAATACATCTTGGATTTCACAACCAAATTCATGCAGGTGTTGTTTATCCACTAATGGTGTATTGGATCTAACTGAAATGTATATAAGTGATGCTGGACTGAAGGAAAATTATACCAGTATTCTTCATGATTGTTTAGGTATTACTGTGAGTAACATTTATATTACCTGTAAAATTAATTAACTATTAAAATCAATTTAGCTTTTCGGAATTTGTCGCGGCTTTATTTTATAATTTTACTCTCGAAATTGTGATATGATTTACAGCAAAACATATCGTTGGATTACCAACGATATTTATTTTGTTTTTATTAAGAAACAAAATAAATCAAACTAATAAATAAAACTATCATTTAAAATGACAATTATTAATGTAAATCTAAGAAAGTAATTTAATTACTATCTAGATATTATTTATTCCTAATATAATACAATAATCACCTTGTCTCTACTAAACTTTGATTTTCATTAAATTGTAGTTCTTTTTTATATAATTCATTTATTTTAAATGCTATATCCAACATTTTTAGCGATGCTACAAAAAAGCTACTAATATGTAGTAATTTTACATGAACAAAATATTATTATTGTTAAATTAAAGTAACATAATCAATATTTATTTTTCATTATTTTAGCTGTCACATATAAACTCTTTGGGTGCCAGCAAGTACATATGTAAATTATGTGCAAATCAATTGGAAGAAATTTCAAAATTTCATAAACAAGTGGTAAAAGCGGAAAAATGCTATAAACATTATTTGTATCATAGTAAAGGTAATGAAAAACAAATTGTAATAGAATCATCAGACATTTAATCTATATAATGTATAATGCAAACATATGTATATAAGCGATATCCACCAATCTGCACTTGGCCAGCGTGGTGTACTATGGCCTAATCCCCCTCGATTGAAGGAAGGCCCGTGCCCAGCAGTGAATTATTAACATTTGAAAAATAATATTTGCGAATGCATTTCGATCTTTCCTTTTAGTAATCTACACTGGGGGGAATATCTATATATAATATAATAAAATTTTGAGTCGAATCTGTACATTAAATATTTTTTGGAAAATCTTATTGAAATAGTCATTATTATCCATGCAAAGGTCGAATCTATAGTTATTAGATTTTTTGTCTGTTTGGGAAGTGGGAACGAATCACGAAAAAACCATTGGACAGATTTTGATGAAATTTGCTATAATGATACCTGGTTATCTGGATCAGCATATAGGATACTTTTTACTCCAGTAAAATATATCATCTCTGAAAATATTAATATATTAAAATATAACTAGGGATGAACCCAAGCGAAGCGAAGGTAAGTTTATAAAAACAAATGGTTTAATTGAATTGGTTTTGTTTACAGATGACGAAAATAAATCCCTAAATATAAAAGAAGACAGTATAAACCAAGACAAAATATTTGAAGAACATGATTATGATTCCGACACACCTATTGCAAATTTGAAAATTTTAACAAATGAAGATGAATATCATAACACTGCGAGTATAGACAAGATAAATGAAAATGGAAATAGATTTACGATTTGTGATGAACAAAAAGAAAATAAAGTTATATTCGGCTGTGTGGAAACTGAAAAGAACTCTAAAGGTATATTTTATAAACTGATACAACTTTTTAAGACAGTTTAAGAAAAAAATAATTTAGAAAAACTTTAAAAAATTATATTTTTACTAAAAAAAAACAAAGTTACCAAGGTTTTAATGTTATAAGTCTAAAGCTTTCAGACTTTGCTTTCAGTTAAAATTTTAGTATAGATTTCTCAGAGATGAAATTTTTTCCCGCAGTAAAAAATATCCTATATGTTGACCCGGGTAAACAGCTATCATCATACCAAATTTCATTAAAATCTGTCCAGTATTTTTCTCGTGATACGTTTCCAGGCAGACAGACAAACTAAAATTCTAAAAACTATAGATTCAGCCTCTGTATCGACAATAATGACTATTTTGATAAGACTTTTCTAAAACTTTTTAATGTACGGATGTCAGATTCGACTGAGAATTTTATTATATGTATATATTTTTTTCAATATAATGAATTTTCGATAAATTCTTCTGTCACTAAACCATCTGGATGCTACGTCAAAATAAATATGATATTGTAGAGGTTGTTTACATAACATAACAATCAAGCAACGACTGAACCGATTTTAATTGAACTTTCATAGAGGGAATCTCTTTTTTTCAGTTCATTATTTCCAACAAACTTAATATTTTTATTTCAGGCTTACAAATAGAAAAGTCAAAAAGTCAAAAACAAATATCTGAACGAAAACGATTAATATTAACATGTGGCACGATACTCAAAGAAACAACAGCTTGCCCTTTTCGACACCACAAAAGCTGGTTTCAATGCTTTTTTTGCTCTCAAGACTTTATGGAAATAGGGACATTAAGGGATCATAATTTACAATTTCACACGAATATTGATGAAGAATTGAAAAAAATAAAACGATATCCACGTTCATTACAAATTGATATATCTATATTGGAATGCCGGAGCTGCCATCTGAATCTGTCCGATGTGGATACGATGAAATGCCATTTTTCTGAGAAACATAACAAAGTAATATATAAAGAATGCATAGCAGATTATAAAGTTGATTCTAGTCCGTATACATGCCATTTGTGTAAGATGGAGTTTCATGTTTTTAGAACTTTAACTACACATCTAAATGAGCATTATGCAAATTGTATATGTGACGTGTGTGGGAAGTCTTTTCTCAATACAAAACGTTTGAAAGTACACAAACGTACCCATGAAAATGGCAGCTATCCATGTACAGAATGCGGAAAGATACTGAAAACCAAAACATCTAAAGCGAATCACATGGAAAGTGTTCATTCGAAGAGAATTATCAAGTGCCAGATATGTTTTAAACCAATGAAACATTATAATGATAGGATAAAGCATATGTCTGATGTACATAATATTACACACAAGTTCAAATGTCCAATATGCAATCGGGAATATAATATAAAACATTATTTGGCGACTCACATTCGTCAAACTCATGGACTTAAAAATAAAAAATGCATGGAATGCGGTATGGCATTCATAACTAATCACGGCTTAAAAAAACATATGTTGAGGCATACAGGGGAACGGCCATTTTCTTGTAGTATTTGTTGTAAATCATACGCAAGAAGTTATACGTTGAGAGAACATATAAGGGTACATGAAAATGACAAACGTCTTGCAACTACACCGTAAATATTGGACTGGATAGCTGTTATATGATCTAACTCAAGCTTTTTGATATATGTATCTTTATATAGTGTTTTTTTGAAGTAAAACTTCTTTACGCACGCTTGTTGAGGGGGGGGGGGGTGGTAAGCTTGTGAATGCGTGAGGAGAGCGTTACGAAAAGTGTGATCGGGCGAGGCGAACGTTTGTTGCCATGGTAACCGTTGTTATTCTCTGTTTTCTTTCTTTAAATGATGTTTTATAAATATATGATTGTAATATGCCTAGTATGCGATATTTAATTATTGTTATTAGAATTTATCATTCCTTTTACAAACAGACAGTTGTGACACACGGGATGAAATGTTTAGCTATTTTTGTTCTGTTACGCCAAAGAAGTATAACTTCTTACGTGCGTACATAAGTGCACACACGTTCGGGAAAATATCTTATCCTGAGAAAAAATACAAAAACTGCAATGTAAGAGAATACTAATATGTAACTTCTAAGAATTTATTTTTTGGTCATCTGAAAATATATTTCAGTAAGTGTGTAAAATTATTTTGTTTTACTGAATGTATAAATAAATAATAAAACAAGTTTTTATTTAAATTATACTTCCTTAAATGACAATGTCTGTAACAAGTTTATAACATTTTTGAGACGTCTATAACCTCAGTCTCTCTCGTGACCATGATCGCTGTAAAGCATTCGAAACGTCTGGAACCAAAAATCAAAATAAATCCGCGAAATAATCTGAAAATATAGTTTTATTTAAAATACTTTTAGTTTAATTCAACTTTAATCATTATATTCATCTACAGCTAAGTTTACCTAATGCTTGGTACTGGCTGGCTTGGTGGTACCATTTACAATCCTTTGTAACCGGGCTAACACATACACTAACACGGATATATATATATTAGCATATTCATGCTAACACGTCTGTTTTAACATAATAATACAAAAGATCATTCATTATAAGGTTAGTTAGGTTTTAACAAAAAAAAAACAAATATATTAAATATTTTATTCCACAATAGCACGTCTAAAAGTAAAAAAAAATCATAAAATTGTACATAGTAAATATTTTTCTTGATAAAAAATCTTAAAATCTGCAACAATTAAAATATACATATATCTTAAATTAAAAAGTGTGGTAGGACTATTTTTAAATATATTAGGAATTAAATTTTCTACTTGTATAGTTCGCGCTAAACTTAAATACGCGTGTATATATATATAAGACGGAGGAGGATTTAGTTACCTTTTTCTGTTATGAAACCTTATTATTAAAGTCACTATGTTCTTTAATTTACTTTTTATTGCTTTTAAATTTTGAATTTAGAGCAGAGATTTAGTCTCGAGCGGGGTCGAGACGCCATCACGACATTCTTTGCAGATACGTGGTGTAGTAAAGTCGGTTGATCATGGTGGATCATAGAGTTTTGCTTTGATATTGTAGTTGGAAGTCGATGATCGGTGACTGTGAACCCGCTAGCTCTAAATCATTAGAATTACCGTTTCAAGTTTATAACATTGTGACTTCCCTGATTAAATTGTGTATTGAGCACTGAATACTTTATTATTTGAGCCCTGATAACGCCCACAAGATGAGTAACCACCAAAGATGATGTTCGTAGTATATGGATAACACGACATATATATATATATTATATATATATATGTGTGTGTGTGTGTGTGTGTATGTATTCTGTCCCTTTTTAACGTCCCACTGCTGGGCACGGGCCTCCCTTCAGTACGAGGGGGATCAGGCCATAGTCCACCACGCTGGCCAAGTGCGGGTTGGCAGACTTCACATGTGTGAAGTTTAAAAAACAAATAGTTATTGCGAGTGTATAAGACATTTATGCCAGATTTCACCGACGTCACCTAAGTTTAAGGGATCCCCTAAGCATGGTTAGGGGGCTGTCAGGGGACAGTTTCTGTTTCACCGACACTTAGGGGTCACCTAAATATTAAAAGGCCCCCTAAATTTAGATGCTCGAAATATGTGCTTAAAGACGTTCGCAAAACGAAATTTAATTTAGGGGCTAGTTTAGGGGACTTTTAAGCTAGGGATCCCATACGTAGGTGGTAGCTTATGGGTTGTTGGTGATATCGGGCATTAGACAAGTTTTCTGAGGACGACTCGACATAACCAGTTATTGTGTATAGATATTGTATCCTCCATTTATAGCTTCCACAGCGTGCGCTGCTTATATCTATAGAGATAAATAAAATTGAAGTATCTGTTTGTAATGTTAAAATAACAGCGTTTTACTAAATGTAAATATATGAAAGTATATACGGTACTTATAAGAAAAACACTTTTTTTTTAGTTTTTGTCTGTCTCTGTGTTTGTTCCGGATAATCTCTGAAACGGCTGGACTGATTTTGACGGCACTTTCACCGGAAGATAGCTGATGTTATAGGGATTAACATAGGCTACCACTTACTTTACTTTAGAATAAAGAAATAGGGTTACGCTCAAAAAAATTAAAACGTACGTAGCTAAATAAATAGCATGAAAGAATGTATGGCTGAATTATTCCTCTAGAAAAATTCTAAAAAAATCCGCAATGGCATAGGTCTATCTCTTAAGGTAGACTCGCAATAACTATTTTTTACGGAAATCGCTAGTCTACTAATATTATAATGAGACAGAGTGTGTTTGTTTGTTTGAACGCGCTAATCTCAGGAACTACTAATACATACGATTTGAAAGAATCGTTTTGCTTTATCTAAGGCCCGTTTATTGAGAAAGGCTATTTATCATCACGCTTCTACCCAAGGGAGCGGAGCAGTAATCATAAATGTCAACAAATCGGGCAGACTTCCATATATTATTGTAAAACTGATGTTTATAATATGTTTAAGAGCTTTAAGCTCAGAATATATATTATATGGCTATATTCCATATTAACTGTTAAAACGTACCTAGGAGCGAAACTAAGCGAAACAGGGTTGAGCTGCTAGTATTATATAACAATATTAACATGTTAACGTCTAAAAAATATAATTCAATATAATTTTTGCAAACCTTTTGTTTAACGCGAACTACAAAGTGTAGGTGTAAAAGCAAGTCACTTAATACTGTGTAAATATTTATATCCATGCATCGATCAAAAAAGTACTAGACACACAATCCCATACAAAAGTTCTCTTAAAACTGCCACTAATTGTGTTTAGGGGATTATTCTAGTTGAAATAAATATACAACAATGTAAATTCAACCTTAAATGCAATGCTTAAAGTTGTTTTCACAAAAAAAATTAAAAGCGCGCTCAAACGTTCCAATGAACACTCATTCGATGAGCACATTTTTTGTCGCTGATTGTGTATCTAGTACTTTTATGATCGATGTATTCATGGCATAAAAGAAAAGTAAATTAAATCACATGATTATACACTCTATGCAAATACTTAAGGGGGGTATAAACAGGAGGGGGTGCGGGGTGGAGAAAAAGAGGAGGGTGTGAGAAGACGTAGGAGTGGAGGGAGTAGGAGGGGGGGGATAAAGAGGAGATGGTGGAGTGAAACAGAGACTACGAGTACCTGTGTTAGGCGCTGATCAGAGCTTCAAACATCATCTTTAGCATTCTATTATTGACCGGCTTCTAAAAAGGAGGTGGTAATCAGTCATAATAATGATATTAGACTTATTTTGAACATATTTCCGAGTAAAGGATATTATTGTTTTTAATTTTCATTAAAAATATACTTAATAAAAATTTACTAAATATAAATATATTACCTCCTCCCTCTTTGAAGTTGATCAAAAAGTACATATATATTATATATGTAATAATAAATTTATTTATATACAATCTGTTCCTTTTTTATTATTTGACTAAAGTTGGAAAATGCACCTTATTTCTTATTGCACTAAGTATTATTTACAATATCATACAAATAATAGTTTTTACTGCATTGATATATTATAAAAAATAAAAACATAATATATAATAAACATTTCCTAACAAATATATCTTCAAAAAGTTACAATTGTCTACACAAATTCGAACTTACGCATACCACATAAAGTTGAATTTCGTCAAAATTCGCCAAAAAAAGAAAGTCGCCAAAATTGTCTCACATAATTAATGGATGCCCCCTAATATATACATATGCATATATGTACCTGATATATTTAGACATATTATCGAAATATTACCATCTATTTAGCTTAAATACACAACTTAATTTTTTCTTTAACACAAGTTCTTATATTCAAAGACAGTTCGTCATCTCAGTGCTTATTTGTCCAAACGACTTAAATGTCAATTATATTGGTATTGAATACACACTATATACTATAATCTAAGTCTATATAAATATGTGCATTAATCTTAGAAATAAAGCTTTGTTTCTAAAATATAACAAAAAAACCTAACTGTAAAGTACAACAAGTATTGGTCGTTTGAAAATATAAGCACCGAGGCGAGTTATCAAGTCCAGAGCATAACCGACCACCATATTACACTATGATATAGAAATATCACTAGATGTCATACTAATACCATGATGGGATCGTAAATGACTCTTCAAACTACACTTTTGCACAAAGGCTGTCCCACATACATCACATTTGAAACGTCTATCATTATTGTGTATACGCAAATGCTCCCTTAATGTGTACTTCCTGGCATATGCTTTATGACATATTTCACACACATATTTCTTTTCACCACTGTGTTTCACCATATGAGCTTTTAAGGCTTTTTTACTGAAAAACCTATAACCACACTCGGTACACTGACAGTTCCGTTCCATCAAATGATTCTTCTTTATATGGCACATTAGCAAAGATTTTAATATATAACCTTTATTACACACATTACACTTGTATTGGGCTTCAGAATTATGCACTTTCATTAAGTGTTGGTTCCTTTGATAATAACTCCGGAACGGTGTATCACAGAACGGACAGTTACTTATACTTCTTGCACCTAAATGTTTTGTTTTCTCGTGGTACTGTTTTTTTGAACGGGTTGAGAAAATCTTATCGCACAAATCGCATTTGAAGTTTCCCTCTTGATGAGTTGCTTGGTGAGCATTCAAAGACCTTTTTGTTGCGAATGATGTCTCACATTTGGTACAACTATAGTTGCTGTAGTGTTTGTTCATGTGTTGTTTTAGCATTTTGAATGTCTCGTACGTAGATGGACACATAGCACAGTCATACACTTCACCTTTCTTCAATTTGAATTGCATCATATGATCTTTTATATCATTATAAAAAGTTTTATCATGTTTTTGAACGAGATGGTCCTTTAATTTACTTAAATTTTCCATTTTTTCCAAACATAATTTACAGGATAGGTCTGTGACATCCAATTTGACGTTATATTCGGTCATATCAAATGAGGATTTGAAGTCTAATCGTTCTTTTTCGTGATTTTTTTCTGTATGGGATCTCAAGTCCACGGGATCGGGATAGGTTGCTTCACAATAACCGCAAATGAATCCCAAAAGGGATTTATTTTTGAATGGTATAGCATTTGAAAACTGTAAGATAGTTAGAAGATTTTCTCGATGCTTCCTTTTATCGTGTGCGTTACGAGTTGTCCAAGTCAAATTAATTTTTAAATCTTTTTGTATTGTTATCTTTCGATTTTTCATTATTTTGATATTTTTTAGGTTTTTCGTCTTCACATCTGACATGTTGCACGAATCTGAAATGTTTGAAATCTTTTATTTTATTTTAGGATGATTCTTTATACAAACTTTCATCTCCATTTTCAACCCCTTAAGGGATGATTTCCGGGATAAACACAATCCTATGTCCTTCCCAGGGTCTCAAACTATATTCTTACTAAATTTCATCTAAATCGATTTGGTAGTTTCAAAGCTTATTCGGTACAAACAAAAAAATCTTTCCTCTTTATAATATTAAGTATAGACTACTAAAAGCACTAGTGTTTGTTGTTGTAGTGTTGTTGTTTGTTATTCCTTAACACTTAAATAGAAAGATTTGGATAAAATTTATTACAGTGGGTCTTTCATAGGTTGTGTCGGATCCGTCCCATGGTATGGTATGGTATGGTATGTTCGGGCTGGTTTCCGCAACTCGACGACTATGCGCCTATTTTGCGTGGGATCCGTCCCATAGGTTTATAAGAATGATATAGTGTTCACACATACCACAGCCATGTGTGGCTGTACTGTATCTTTTTGCAGAATCCATATCCATACTAATATTATAAATGTGTGTTTGTTTGTTTGTCCTTCTTTCACGTCATAGCAGAGTGAAGGATTGGCGTGATTTTTTGTGTGGAGATAGTTGAAGGGCTGGAGAGTGACATAGGCTACTTTTTACCGCGGTAGATTATCTTATTCCCATGCGAAGAAATGTTATAATACAACCCACATCAATAATTTTATTATTATTAATAAATTATAAATACTTACCAATAGATGAAAGTTTTGTTACAAGAGTTTTTATTTCATAATTATCTTCTGCCTGCTTGTTTGATTTACTTCTTCCTTTTGCTGTTTTCTTCTTCATAGGAGGAGGAGACTCTTGTTTTACTGGAACTATAAAACTGAGATGGTTAAATTCATTATAATTATATCAATAATTTTCTTAATAATTGTCTTGACTAAAAATGACTAAAAAGGAACTAATTAAATAAGATTTACAGTTATAAAGCAACTTACTTGCATCAACTAAGAAATAATCATCAGAATCATTTCCATCACTCTCTGGTTCGAGTTCAAGTTTCACATCCACTGGTTTAACTGAAAAATTCAAACTGAGTGACTAAAATGAAAAAAAAAGTGCAAATCATGTGTTTTAATGATTCTATTTTCTAATAACTTAAAAATATCCAATTGTTAATATGATACACTTTAATAACTGGAATAAGATGAATAAAATGAGATATAGAGCCAGTTAAGAGTTAAGGTTTTATTTAAGTGTCTAGTGTTAGACTAGTATTTTAGTATCTATTTAGTATAAAACAAAGTCACTCCCGCTATTAGTTCACTTACATCTTTTAAACTACGCAACGGATTTTAAAGCTGTTTTCAGCAATAGATAGTGATTCAAGAGAAAAGTTTTTATGTATAATACAAGCATATTATAGTACAGAAAGGCTGAGAAATTCAAAGATTTGTACTGTGCACTTACATAACCATTAAAATGTACATTATTTTATATTTTAAACTATAAAGTCTAGGAAAAAAAGTTAGTTGGTTATAATATCAGTATTTTACAAATTATTCTAGCAGTAATTGATGATTAATTTTATTGATTATAAATATTGCATATAACATAGTATATAGGTGAATTAAACCCTACTTTCATTCTCGGCATCTGCAATTCTTTTTAAAAACTCCTGTTCTGAATGTAGCACCTGTTTCTTAAAATGAAGTGAATCACGCAGACTTTTCACACATAAATCACATATAGAGTTGCATTCATATTTAGGACTTAACTGGAAAAATAAATATATATATATTAGTATAATGTAATGAGTATTCTTTATGATATTATATCAATTTAGTGCTAGTAAGCCATTGCTTTTTTAATAAGAGATGTTAACACAAATTGAAATTTATTTCAAATTATTTAAAAAAAGCCCTAAATTGACTCAATACATTTTTGTTTATATTACTAGTGTATTTTTTTAAATGCCTATTAAATAACTTAAATACAAGGGCTGTTTTTGTTAAAACTATTTTAAATATAAGAATTAGAATTATATAAATACCTTTATTATTTATAAATACATATTATTAAAATACTTACAACAATATCGAAACACTCTTTTAGCATGTCTGAATATATTTCGTTTTCTTCCAACCAACTATAATTCGTGTTCAAATCTTTACTAGCGGCATCAGATAAACAGCAACGGCAAAGTTTAGCATCATCCATTTTATTTTATTTCAATATCTTTCATTTAAAAAATATACATAAATAAATAAATATTTCCTGATTTGACAAAATCAGATTTATCTGACATTATTTTTTTTATAAAATTTGTAAATAGTGCCAACATGTTAAAACAACAATATTATGTATTACAGATACAAAATTGCATCGACAAGAATATTATAATATTTTCTTATATTTAAATTTTTAAGACAATAAAATGAGCTATACAATTTATGGAAGTAATATTTACTTTATATTGATAAAAAATCAATAGGAAGGTATTATTGTGACATAAAAGACAAAAAAAAAGTTAATCTTTTGGATAAATTGGTAGATTTTGTCCTTGTATATTTTATCTAAAGTTGGCACTACTGAAACTGATTTACCAAGAAAACAAAATGGCGTACCATCTGAAGCCGAACTGATGCTGAGCGTCATTTTTTCGTTTTAAATTAAAAGTTAATTGTTTTACTATGAATGTGTTAAAATAGTGAAACAAATATGGAGTTTGATGAAATAGTCGTGAAAGAGAGCCCGGGCCTCTGCCGGTGCTGTCTTTCTGAGGGTTGTTACAAAGACTTGGGTACGGAGTACGTTTGGATGGATGAAACTGAGGTGTACGCCGATATGTTGTTAGAATGCTTCGATATTAGTGTAAGTTCATATATAGTTTTGTAAACATTGCTTTTAAATGCTATTATTATTTTCGATTAAATTTTAAGTACCTTTAAGTTTTATATTGTTTATAACATATCCTTTAGATACCTATATGTATATATAATAACAAAAAAATATCTAATATCTATACATATAAACAGATAAATAAAATTGAAGTGTCTGTAATGTCAAAATAATAGCTTTTTACTAAATGCATACGAAATTTTAATTTTAATTACGGTACTTATAAGAAAAACACGATTTTTAATCTTTTGACCGTTTTTGTGTCTGTCCCTCTGTCTGTTTGTTCCGTTTAATCTCCGAAACGGCTGGGCTGGTTTTGACGGGACTTTAACTGGCAGATACCTAGCTGATATTATAAGGAGTAACTTAGGCTACTTTTTATTTTAGAAAAAGAATTAGGCTTCCGCTCAAAAAATTAAAAAGTATCTAGGGATGCAACCGAGCAAAGCCAGGGTAAGTCGCTACTCTAGTAACATGTAAAAGATTAATGGTTATTTTTTAAATAATTGTTAAACTAAGATATAATAAATAATAATTATATATATTTCCACAGATATCCCAACATATAGAAGGGCCAAATGGTCCAAGCAGGTTAATCTGTGAAGTATGCATTACTCGTCTACGAGATGCCTGTAATTTTAAGAAGCAAGTGCTTGAATCTGAAAAAAAGTTTATTGACATGCTTGGAAGAGGCGAGTTTAAATCAAAAGGTATTTACTTAAAAATGTATCTGGACACTTAATATCATTGTTTGATTTTTTTTTCAATGTCACAAATTAAGGAATGGCTCAATTTCTTTTGTTTTTTTAAAGTTTTATTTTTTTTCATTGAAAGTATTGCATATATTTTCAAATTTATTTATTTTGTTACATTAAGTATATAGCATATATTAGATCAAATCAGAAATATTATGTTATTATAATATATAGGTAAGTTAGGGTAATTTTTTATTTTAATATCAATATTCTATAAATAATAATATATTTTTTTATCCTTTTTAAAAACAATATCCATTTAAAAATATAGCACATATGTTTGGCCTGTTTGTGCTATATTTATTTTCTTTTCTTAGCCGATTCCGGCTACGGCGGCCAATCTCATTGAGACTAGCCAACTGCGCAGGAGATATTATAGTGCACAAGTGTACGCGCAGACACAACGTGCACTCTCTATTCCTGTCACTCTCATACTCCGGTGGGACGACTACTCGACACGACCAGTAAGAGTTAAGGCGCAGGACCGATGGCTTTACATGCTCTCCGAGACACGGGGGTAACTTTCCAACTCCGGGCTGTTACTGAGACTTACTATACAGAAAGAATCAATAACTAAACTTGGCCCGACCCGGGACTCGAACCCAGGACCTCTGAGTGTGCAGCCGTACATACTAGCCACTACACCACTGAGGCAGTAACTCGTCTAGTCCTAGTCTTCTTAACTGCACTAATATCTCCTGCGCAGTTGGCTAGTCTCAATGAGATTGGCCGCCGCGGCCGGAATCGGTCAGGAGAACATCATCATTTATTTTCTTTTATTTTTTATTACTTGAGGTAACATTTTTCATGTAGCTGCCATTGCACCGTGAAAAAGTGATAAACCATTACCTAACATGTAGGCTTTGCTTTATAATATTAGGAATTTGGATTAAAATCAATCAAAATTAGTACAAAAAAATCCATATATATCTTTTATTTCTGTTATTTGAAGAGGGTCTTAATCTATCTCTTATTATAATATAGTTTTTGACATTTTGGGTTATAGATGGTCGCTTAGGGCCTATACGCACGATGAATTTAACGTGCTGTCGACGCGCGCTTACCGCACGCTTATAGCGATACGAATGTAAGCGACTTGGCGTTTTTTTACAGGATATGCACAGAGTCTGTGTTTTCTTGATATGTGGGTTTATAAAACTGTATACAGACACACAAAGTTTTATATGAATAAATACATGTAATATATTATGTATTAACTATTAATATTTTGACAAACTACAAGCGCCATCTTTTGGAAAGTTTGATAAACAGAAAAACAAAAACAAATCTGTCCCTCGCGAACCGTATATTTTTCCGGGATAAAAAGTAGCCTATGTTACTCCAGACTATAATCTATATCTGCGCCAAATTTCATCCAGATCCGTTCGGCCGTTCTGGTGTGAAAGAGTAACAAACATCCATACATACTCACAAACTTTTACTATTTATACAGATTATACAGGTTTGGTTCCCGACATGTCGAATGCTTTACAACAATCATGGTCACGGGAGAGACTAAGGTTGTTATCTACATACACAAATACCCGTAAAATTAAACAATGATTTTAAAAATAAAAAATGGCACCAAAGTACCTACCTACCTGAAAATATTTGTTAATTTAATTATTATTTTTTATATAAAAATTCAATACGACACGTTTGGCTCAGTTTGTAGCGACCCTACTTGCCGTGACAGCGGTCGCGGGTTCGAGTCCCGCTAGAGGCATTAATTTGTGTTTGTACTTCAATTATGGGTATTTATGTTTATAATATGTATGTATTTCAAAAAGTTATATAATATATGTGTAATGTATCAACTATCTTATTACTTATCTTACTACTAAATACTTGGACATCGATTTCGGAGCTTATTTATTTGGAGATTACAAAAGTAATAATAAGTAATAGCCTAAATATAAATAAATTATAATTTTCAGTAATAGTTTACCAAGAGCAAATGAAATCTGAAGACAATATTGATGCTCAGGCCACTGGGGAAGCCGAAGTTGAGTTTCTGGAGGAAGATATTGATTACGATGGTAATATTTTATCACTGTTAGGGCCGTTCAAGTATTACTTAAGCAAATTTTTAAAGATTTTACACCCCATGTTATAAGCAAAAATAAGAGAAGCAAAAACACCAATTTTTTTCTTACATAAAATTTTGAATATCTTTCCGCACCCTATGTCAGCAAAACTAAGAAAATATTAGACGCCCCACTCCCTCAGCCTGCTTACGTAATACTTGAACGGCCCCTTATGTATTACGTCCCTAGTTACGTTTTAACGTTTAGTATGGATTTCTCAGAGATGAGATATTTTCCCGCAGTAAAAAGTATCCTATATGTTGACTCGGATAACCAGCTATCATCATACCAAATTTCATCGAAATCTGTCCAGTGGTTTACAGATAAAAATTCTAAAAATTATAGATTCGGCCTCTGTATCGATAATAATCACTATTTATATAAAAAATATTAAATGGACAGATTTGACTCAGAATTTTATTATATTATGTATAGATTATTGTTTACCTAGTCCTTTATATACAGATGATAAAACTTCATATTTAGTTGACATCTTATGTTACGTTAAAACATCCATCAAAAAAGTACTAAACACAATCAGTGACAAAAAATGTCCTCACCGAATGAGCGCTCATTTGAACATTTGAGCGCGCTTTTTTTTTGTGAAGTCAACTTTAAGCATTGCATTTAAGGTTCAATTTACATTGCCGTTTATTTATTTCAACTAGAACAATTACCTAAACACAATTGGTGACAGATTAGAAAAGAACTTTTGCATGGGATTGTGTATCTAGTAGTTTATTGATAGATGAGTTAAATTTTCATAATTTATTTCTAAATATATGAGAAATTACATTAAAACTTTGATTAATACTATAAAAATAATTTTAAAAGAAAACAGAATGGAATATGCATATTACAACACGTATATTTAAGAACTCTACAATATACGCCTAACCTTAAGCAATTGACTGTGCCAACGAAGTGGTGAAAAAATTACTGGCATTAGATAATTTTATATGTATGTATTCAGCCCTTTTTTTTAACGTCCCACTGCTGGGCGTGGGCCTCCCTTCAATACGAGGGGATCAGGCCATAGCCCACCACGCTGGACAAGTGCGGGCGGACTGAGCATGTCTTTCGAAAACTTGCTAGGTTCTCTCAGACATATACGATATAACACGATATAAGGCAGTGGTAGCCCAGTGGTAACGCGCTCGCTTGGGAAACCGAGTGAAGCGGGTTCAAATCCTGGGTCTCGCACCTCTGATATTTTCATGTGCGAATCATTTCTAACATGTATGTATGGTAGTAGATTCATGACGTTCAGTAAAAAATTGTAATAATTTAATGCTGAATAAAATATTTATTAGTTTTTTGTTTTTTAATAATTAGAATTATTATTATTATTTTTTTTCAATTTAATATTTGAAAATGATTTCAGACGGTCCAAATAACGATGTATCAGAGCCGACAGTATCTGAAGATATAACCGTAGCAACATTACCAATAAAAGGCAAAAGGGGCAGACCCCGAAAGAATGCTGTGAAGCCGGAGAAGAAAAAATCTAAAATTGAGGATAAACCGAAAACTAAAGTAGTTAGAGGTATGTTATTTTTTTTATTATTATCTATGTTTTATTATCTGTGGTGAAGTTTTCAAATTTTAATTTCGCTTTATATTTTTCAATTGAAAATTTAAATGATTTATTTGTTTAACAATATTTTGAAGGTAGCGATTTAGCCTTGCTTCGCTTGGGTGCGTCCCTAAGTAAAAATTTCACCATAGATGATATGTAATTTTTTTATTGTACAATATTTTTGTGCCACTTTTCTCTTGTCATTGCTTATATTTAACCTTTCATCTATTAAAAAAAATATATTTATAAAATGTCGACTCTAATGACATCATAGCTGTAGAAAATGATCTGATCTCTTATGAAATTGACCACTCTCTAGAAAGAGAGAAAACGAACGTGCGGCCAATACCTGTTTTTTATTCCAATTTGAATTTATAAATGGAATGTAAAAAAATATAATATTATTTTAGATTTGCTTCCCAATACAAACTTTCATCCCCGTATTACCCCCTTAAGGGATGATTTCCGGGATAAAAAATATCCTATGTCCTTCCCATGGTCTCAAACTATCTTTGTACCAAATTTGATCTAAATCGGTTCAATAGATCCAGAGATTACCCTCTACAACGTTACAAACTCAAAAACTTTACCTCTTTATAATATTAGTATAGATTATAATATTATAATGGTATGTAAAATGGTTAATAAATATCTTTCTTCATTAATCGTATTTCGATGAATCCAGAAGACTTAGGGCCGCACATTCGTTTTGTCTCTGTCGCGCCTTTCCGCCATTTTTAGCTGACGAGTGGCAAAGAAACACTCAGTCAACTCTCTATGTTTATGAGCAATATTAACAAGTAGAAAGTTTTCTTTCCGAATTTTTTATATGTTCTTTAATGACAATAGAAAAGCTTGATTTTATCTTATTTATTTTCCGTTTAAATGACGTATTTATAAACAAAATGCGCGGTATTTACTACTACTACTTACTACTAACAATGTTTCGTAACACATTGTACTTGCTTCGGCACAATTTTAAAAGACACATGCTCGATTTCACCAACATCACTTAAGCTACCACCTACGTATGGGATCCCTAGCTTAAAAGTTCCCTTAAACTAGCCCCTAAATTAAATTTCGTTTTACCATCGTCAGAGCCAGTATTTCTAGTACCTATATTTAGGTGGCATTTTAACATTTAGGTGACCCCTTACTATCGGTGAAACAGAAACTGTCCCCTAACAGTCCCCTAACCATGTTTAGGGGATCCCTTAAACTTAGGTGACATTGGTGAAATCAGCCGTTAGAAAACTATAATATTGACGATTTCAGCGTACAAAGTTTATATATTATTTATATTTAAAACAAATATACATAATAATATAGCTATTGGTTGAAATATAACTTATTTATTAAAGACTAGTATTGCCCGCGGCTCCGCCCGTGTTCAGATGACCAAAAACCAAATAATTAGGTTATACATATTAGTATACTCTTACATTACAGTTTTTGTATTTTTTCTCAGAAATGAGATATTTTCCCGCGGTAAAAAGTATCCTATATGTTGACCCGGATAACCAGCTATCACCATACCAAATTTCATCAAAATCCCTCCAGTCGTTTTTCCGTGATGCGGTAACAGACAAAAATTCTAAAAACTATAGATTTCGCCTCTGTATCGATAATAATGACTATTTCAATAAGTATATTTAAAAAAATATATTTAATGTACAGATTTGACTTAATTAGAATTTTATGATATGTATAGAAGTAAATGAAAATTAGACATTTAACGATGGAACTTCGATAATAATTATTAGGTCGATCTAATTTTTTTTAATTCTAAACGTGACAATTTCTATACTTTATCGAAATTCTCTTACTATAAGAAGGAAGCAACATTTTTATAACCTTCAAATAGCACTGTTTTTTACATAACTTCTAATTAAATTCAATTTTGAAACTTCACTCACGATGTATGAGTAAAAAAAGTAAAAAAATACTCGAAAATGGATAGCAAATAAAAATCTGAATTCATTGATAAAGAAAATTAAAATATGCCAAGCAAGATAAAAAACGTACGAAGATTTCAAGCAGATATTGATTAAATTTAAATTTTTAGGTGAAAAACGCCCACAGATGGCACCCGAGGCAGTGAGTAAGTCCTCTATGTCTACGACGAAAAGAAATCGTCTCATGAAAAGAAATGCTATAACGATTCTCGAAACTTCCACAGTCGTACCGTTTAAGTGGCATAGACACAACTACCTTTGCTTCTTCTGCCACAGATCTTTTAAAACCCTAGAGCCTTTAAAAGAACATACTAGGAACGATCATAAGGACTCTAGCATAAAATCAGCCGTCTCCTACCTAAAAAGGGACGAAAAAGTCAAAATTGACGTTTCCCAAACAGTATGTCGAATTTGCGACGAAAATTTTGACGATGTTAACACGTTTGTTGCTCATGTGAAATCTATTCATGAGAAGGTTTTCGCAGATTGCGGTAACGGTGTGATTCCATACAAATTGCAGGATGATAAATATAAATGTGCCATGTGTGGAAAGGATTTTGAGTATTTTATCAAACTTAATCAGCACATGAATGAGCATTTTGGTCATTACGTGTGCGAATTGTGTGGGAAATCGTTTTTGAGTCAGGATAGGTTGAGATGCCATGCGGTCAGTCATGGTTCCCATTTCAAATGTAATTTTTGTTCGGAAATCTTCGATTCTCTCACACGAAAGAATAACCACGAAATGGCAGTTCATAACAAAAAGCCAACGATCAAATGCTTCTTCTGTCCGGAAACCTTCCAAAATTACATAAAGCGTAAACGACACCACCACACCGCCCACGATTTGGACATTTCACTCATAAATTGTCCGGTTTGCGGGAAAACTTTCCATATTTTGAGCAAAATGTCCGCTCATTTAAAGGAAGTTCATGTGAGAGAAAAGAACTTTGCATGCTCCATATGCGATCAGAAGTTTTTCTCGCGCACTCACGTTCAAAAACACATGATCAAACATGTAGGTGAGAAAGTATATCAGTGCGAGATTTGTAAGAAGTCCTATGCAAGGAAACAAACTTTGCGAGACCATATGCGTATACATAATAACGATAAACGGTTCGTCTGTACGTTTTGTGATCAGGCGTTCGTCCAAAATAATAGTTTGAGGTTGCATATGAAAGTGCACCATCCTGATGCCATAAATAATTGACTTTTTTTTTTAAATTTTTATTATATCTTGCCTTGTCTATTGCATTGTATTGTAGAATTTTTACCTTTTTAATATTATTGTAGAATTTTTATTTATTTTTATATAGTATTGTAGAATTTTTACCTTTTTAATAAAAAATGTATTTTTTTAATACATATATCGCCTTTAAATCAGCTTTGGGATCATAAGATTGATGTTTATTATTTTTTATATTGAAATTGAACTCAATTGCTATTTTAGTCTTAATAATTTTAGATATCTCTGACCAATTTTACGGCTCAGTTTTTGAAATTTAACTCTAAATTTGACAATAACATATCTTAGCTGTAGATGACAGTTTTTTTTTAAATTTAGTATTAGTCTAAGATCCTTTAGCGTAAGGAAATGACTTTAAATGTACCCTACATGTAGTATGACATGCAATTTTATACCAAATTTTCTAATAGATTTGAAATTCAAAAGATTTTATTTTATTTATTTTTAATATAAAGGGTACATTTACAGTTGAGGATTTCTTTTCAGATATAATACCTCGGAAAATGAAAGGCTGCGAATCTTCTTCGATGCGTAGAAGGAAAAACCTTCAACTACTCTTCAATAACACGACAGTCATACCGTTTAAATGGAGAGGAAAATATCTATGTTTCTATTGTAGCAAAGACATATCTGAGTATTCTGAGCTCAGAAAACATACCAAGTCTCATGGTAATTGTTCTACGAAAGACCATTCTTTAAAAGTTTTGAAGGGTGGACAGAATATGGAAATAAAAATCGATATTTCAGAAATTACTTGTGAGATATGTAGCGAAGACTTTCCTGTTTTTGATGATGTTTTGTCACATTTACTGGTCAAACATAAGTTGGAGTTTGATAGGGAAGTAGATATGGCTATAGAAGAGTATCGGCTGGTCGATCTAAGTTGCCTTCTCTGCGAGGAAAAGTTCACCTATTTCGGTTATTTAGTGTCGCACGTAAATAATAACCACCCAAAGAATTGTCTGATTTGTGACAAATGCGATCAGAAATTCAATAAGAAGCGAGATCTTTTCTCGCACATCAAAAATTATCACAGAGAGGGTGGCTATCAGTGTGACGTGTGCCCTCAAAGTTTTAGTTCTCTAAATATATTAAGAAAACACAAAATTAATCGTCATTTGACTAGATGTAATATATGCCACTTACGACTGCCTTCTGCGGTACTCAAACAAAAACATATGGAAATAGAACATCCCGATGATGGGTCTCTCCAATGCGATATTTGTTATAAAGATTTTCATACAAAACAAGGGCTAAAAATGCATACGCGTAAATGTAAAAGCGATTTGTTCGATGTATCGATTAAAAACGAGGAATTCGAAGTGATGGACTTAGATAGCAACTATGAGAGTGTTAAACGACCAAGTGTCAAACAAATTCGGGAAAATATCGTGATCGTTATAAATATGTCTACCGCGATACCGTTTAATTTTTACAAAAATAAATTTAACTGTTTCTACTGTTCCAAAGATTTCCCAGACTCTGATTCTATGAGAGAGCACACTGTCATAGAGCATCCTGTATGTGATGTAAAAGAGAAGTGCATCAGAAAGTGCCGAGAATCGGTTGCATGCGTAAAAATCGATATTTCATCGCTAGCTTGTAAAATTTGCTTCGAATCGATGAACGATCTCGATAATCTTTTAGACCATCTCATTATAAAACACAACGCAAATTACGATAAATCGATTACAACGTGTCTACAACCCTACAAACTGATAAAAGATCATATGGCATGTCCGAACTGTCCGAGCGAAGTATTTCGCTTTTTTGGTACTCTATTGAAACATATGAATAATAAACATACCAATAACAATATAATCTGTGTCTACTGTGGTCAAACTTTTAGACGTGACCAGAATCTACGTGTCCATATATGGAGACACCACAGAGATGGTAGGTTCAAATGTAACATTTGTGGAGCAGAGTGTAATATACCATCGAGATTGTATATGCACATGGCGAAAGCTCATGGTGTCAAAGCAGCGAAATGTCCAAAATGTCCAGAAAGTTTTGCCACACAGTATTTAAGACAAAAACACCTGATAGAGGCTCACGATTCAGGTCACAAATGTTCGTATTGTGATAAGCTTTTCACACGAAATTCCTTTATGCGAGATCATATAAGACGTACGCATTTGAAGGAAAAGAACGTTGAATGTTCCATTTGTAATATGAAGTTTTTCAATAATATCCTATTGAGGAGGCACATGGTGAAACACAGTGGGGAGAAAAATTTTCACTGTGACATCTGTGGGGAGAGGTTTTATTGGAGGAAGAGTTTGCGAACGCATATGGCTAGGCATAGTAAGCTAATAAATGCTATATAAATTGGTATAATATATAAATACATAGATATACGTATGTAAGGAAATGAAGACATGTATCAAAAATATGCACCGATGCTATTGTTACGGAATTTCTATACATTTTTAGGGATTTCCCAGAATTCTGTGACATATAAACGATAATAACACGAAAAAATCTTGACCAGAATTTCCATTCGTTTTTAAAGTCGGTTAACATTCATGCGTTCTTATTGGTGATGTGATATGTGCATCTTTAACTCATTTTAGTAATATTTATTTTGTATATTTTTAAACCATACCAAAGATTAGTTAGTGTCAACTATTACGTAGATATAAAAAATGTACTCCCAATTTATGTTCATACTTCGTCATTTAAACTTCTAAAAATATTCATGTTTAAATAATTTTTTTTCTCATCTTTCTTCTATGTTTTAAAGAATATGCCATCAATTAGATAAACTTTTTTAAAATAAATATATAATCTGTGCAATATTTTATACTTCTCATATTTAACGATCCTCGGCCACTATAAATGGCAATATAAATAAAAAAAATTGTGACCTAAAAACGAGTTTAAACCCATACACTTCACGCAAACGTTAATTTTTAAGACAATATCAATCGGAACATACAGTATAGCAATTTGTTTTCAGATTGTAAAATTCAATCGGACGAATGCTCTACTGGACTATCGACGTTGCAGCGTCAAAACCTTCTAGCATTATTTACTTCCACAAGTATCGTACCTTTTGAATGTCGTGACGGTCTTTCGTGTTTCTTTTGTGCTAAAATAGTTACGGAATATGATGATCTTAAAAAACATACGAAATCTCACGAAACATCAAATATGAGACATGTGTTAAAAGATTATAAACATAAAATAGTTAAAGTAGATGTTTCCAAAAGCAATTGTGATATATGCGATCTGCCATTTGAATATAATGATCTTGTTGATCATTTAGTAGCTGTACATGATTTTGTTGATAATTACGATGTTATTAGATGTTTTGATTTAATTGATTTGAAATGCTTGGAGTGCAGCGAAATTTTTGCTGATTTTTCTCTATTGGTACGCCATATAGAGAAAAAACATGGTAGTTTTAGCAATTCGGTTAAAGCGAGCAAGTTTGATAGATTAGATTTACGATCAGAATCAAATGGTTTAATGAAAAATAGTTTTAAATGTCCGAAATGCGCCAAAATACTAACTTCAAAATTAGGTTTTAAAATTCATTTAACTAAGTGTGGTGTTAAAAAAGAACCGCGTTTATTAAAAGAGAGAAACACTAAAACGTTAAAAATAAGACAAAATATCGCGTCTATTATTAATATGTCGACAGCAATACCTTTTAAGTTTTTCAAAAATCGTTTCCGTTGCTTTCACTGTTCTAAAGATTTTATTGATTTTGATCCTTTAAAAGATCACACTATCAATGATCATCCTAATTTCAGTGAACAATGTAAAGCGATGAAAATGATTAAAGGCAGAGATGTTAATGTAAAAATAGATATTTCTAATCTCACATGCAAACTTTGTTTTGCAAGTATCATTGAATTGGGCGATCTGGTAAATCATCTAATTTCAAATCATGGGATAAATTATGATAAGTCTATTGATTGTGTACAGTCATTTAGGATAGTCAAAGACAATATCCCCTGTCCGATATGTCCACAAACAGTTTTTAGATATTTCAAAAAGCTTTTGGAACACATGAATGAGTTTCATTCGGATAATAATATAGTTTGCGCTCAATGCGGTCTAACTTTTCGTGGGCACCCTAACTATAGAGCGCATATGTCACGTTATCATAGGACCAAAGCGTGTAAATGTCCGGATTGTAATATGGAGTTTTGGAATTTGGAAAAACTAGCGCGTCATAGAGCTAACATACATGGCACCAAAAAATATAAATGCGCCCAATGCGTAGAGAAATTTATTACCCAACATTTGATGCGCAAACATCAAATTCTTGTACATGGCTTTGGACATAAATGTCCATATTGTGGCAAAATGTTTACGCGTAATTCTCACATGAAAAATCATGTCAGACGTCTCCATTTGAAGGAGAAAAACGTTGAATGTGCGGTTTGTAGAGAGAAATTCTTTGATAGAGCACTTCTGAACGTTCATATGGTTAAGCATGTAGGTGAAAGGAACTACCATTGCGATGTTTGCGGAAAGAAATTTTTGTGGAAGAAAAACCTTCGTGGTCATATGGCCTCACATGAGAGGCACAGCTGAAATCTTATATTCTTTGCATATGTAAAAGTACCCTCATCGATATTATTTTCTGTGGTATTATTAGGTACTTCTCCATATTGTGAATCTTTAAGGGTACATTTTACATTTCGGAAAATTTGTTTTCAGATGTAATTGGGCCATCAAAGACGCTTAGTCCTAATACACTGAGGCGACGAAATCTTCTTATTTTGTTCAACAACACATCAATAATACCTTTTAAATGTCGGGGGAAATGTAGGTGTTTTTATTGTGGGGAAGAATTAGCAGTTTATGACGACTTACGAAAACATACTAAGGCTCACGGTCCGTGTTCGGAAAACGATCGTGCTATTCGATTAGTGAAAACTGATGATGCAGAAGTAAAAGTCGATATTACAAATATTACTTGCGAGATTTGCCACGAGCCTTTTTCTAACTTTGACGAAATTGTGTCTCATTTGATTGTAAAGCATACGCTACCTTACGAGAGAGATGTTAAACTTATAATTATGCAGTACCGTCTCGTTGATTTGCAATGTCTTTTATGTGAGCTAAAGTTTAATCAAATAAGCGAGTTAGTTACGCATGTAAATACTGAACACCCAGTACAAAGTCTGGATTGCGATATTTGCCACCAAAAGTTTACTAGGAAACCGTATCTGGACGCTCACATGAGGATCAAACATAAAGAAGACTACAAATGCTTAAAATGTCCTCAAACTTTCTCATCTTATTCAACTCTTCAAGAACACAAAATTAAATCTCACATCGCAGTTTGTAATATTTGTTTCACGAAATTTTCTAGTCAAAAGAAAAGATTGAAACATATGAAACTAGAGCATGCCAATGAAGAGTTAAAATGTGGATTTTGTCTCAAATCTATGAGTACTAAATTAGGGTTTTTGAGGCACGCTGCTAAATGTACGGAATACGGGGTAAAAGGGAACGAATCTCTTGTAATCGATGACGATGATGACAAAAAACCAGCTGTTATCCAAATTAGAAATAATATTGCTTGCGTTCTTAATATGTCAACAGCTATACCGTTTAAATATTTCATGAGTAGATTTAGATGCTTCTATTGTCCAAAAGATTTTACTGATTGTGAAGAACTAAAAGAGCATACAGTTATTGAACATCCTGTATGTGATATTAATTTAAAATGCATGCGACTGCGAAATAGGCAAGAGGGTTGCGTTAAAATCGATATGTCAACACTTTCATGTAAATTGTGTTATGAATCTATGTCAGATTTAGATTCTTTAATAGATCACTTGATATCTGAACACAAAGTATTTTACGATAAGTCCATAGATAGTAATATGCAGCCATACAAGTTAATCAAAGATAATTACCCGTGTCCTATTTGTGAGGACGTCTATACTCATTTTAGTACATTATTAAAGCATATGGGTCAAATACATACTGATAATAAAAATATATGTATGCACTGTGGTAAATCGTTCCGAAATTTACCAAATTTGAGAGTACATATTTCGAATCATCACAAAACAACGGGCACTTATAAGTGTGATCGATGTGATCAAGAGTTCTCATCTAATAAATACTTGCAAACACATTTAGGACGCTCCCATGCCCTCAAAGTTTTCGAATGTCCGGAATGCAAAGAAAAATTTACATCTAACTACACGATGCAAAGGCATATGATTAATTTGCACAGTTCGGGTCATAAGTGCATGTACTGCGGTAAACTTTTTACGTCTAATTGTTTCATGATAGATCATGTCAAACGCACTCACTTAAAAGAAAAAAATGTGGAGTGTCAGATCTGTGATGAAAAGTTTTTTGACACACAATGCTTAAAAAATCATATGATAAAACATAACGGCGAGAGAAATTTCCATTGTGATATTTGCGGCAAAAAGTTTTTATGGAAGAAAAATTTAAGGGGACATATGGCTTCACACATAAAAATTAGCCATGATATACCAATTTGATTACGCCAATACTTGCAAAAGTTACAAGAAAAAATTGAAAAGACCAAACATTTCTTTTCAGATTTAAACGCCCTGTCCAAGAAAAATAGTGCCAATAAGCTCAGAAGGTTCAATCTGCAAATTTTATTTAACAATACCTCCATCATGCCTTTTAAATGGCGCGGCAAATACGTGTGCTTTTATTGCGGTGAAGAACCAAAAACCTATGATGAGTTAAAGGCACATACAAAAGAACATGGAGAATGTTCAGATAAAGATAGAGCTTTACGATTGATAAGAGCAGCTGATGTCGAAGTCAAAATCGACATATCTACTATTATATGTAATCTGTGTAAAATATCGTTTGCAGATTTGGAAGCAATTGTTTCTCACTTAATAGTCACACATAATTTACAATATAATAGAGATGTAAAGTTATCGATAGTGGCATACCGGTTATCGGATTTAAAATGTATTTCTTGTGATGAGAAATTTACGTATTTAAGCAAATTAATAAGTCATGTTAATACCGTACATCCCAATCAGAGTTTGCTTTGCTTAAAATGTGGACAAAAGTTTAACAAAAAACGTGACTTAGACGCGCATAATCGTACTAAGCATAGAAGCCAGTACACTTGTATGAAATGTTCTCGAAAATTCTCAACTAGTTCAGATCTCTTAAGCCATAAGAGAAACTCACATTCATCGAAATGTAATATCTGTTTGAAAAGTTTTCTATCATTCCGAAAATGTGTAGAGCACATTAAAAACGATCATTCTGCCAGAACATATAAATGTGGGTTCTGCTTGGATTCAGCCACTACGAAAAAGACTTTTATTAGACATGTTACAGAATGTACGGAAAATATTATGACCGTAGACAATAGACAAAATATAAATAAAAAGCCTTCTGTGACCCAAATTAGAAATAATATAGCGTGCATCTTCAACATGTCTACAGCTATGCCCTTCAAATATTTTATGAGTAGATTTAGATGCTTCTACTGCCCTAAAGACTTCAGTGAATGCGATGACCTTAAACAGCATACAGTAATTGAGCATCCTCTATGTGATACAAAATTAAAATCTATGAAATTACGCCACAGACAAGACGGTCTTATCAAAGTGGACACATCATCGTTATCTTGTAAAATATGCTTTAAGAATTTACAAGATTTAGATGGTTTGATAGAACATTTGAATTGCGAACATAAAATACACTACGATAGATCCGCTTCTGCTAATTTACAACCCTACAAATTAATAAAGGATAATTTCCCATGTCCCTTTTGCGTGGAAATATTTAGATATTTCCGAACGTTACTAAATCACGTGGCTAAGAGTCATTCGGATAATAAATATATATGTGTACATTGTGGGTTGGCGTTTCGGAACTCGCCAAATTTACGTACACATATTGCCCGGCGTCACAAGGCGGCCAGTTTTAAATGTTCCGAATGTGATTTGCGATTTTTTACTAATAACTATTTACAAAACCATTTAGGTCGAGTGCACGGCACTAAAATCGTCGAGTGTCTTGAATGTAAAGAGAAATTTAAGTCTGCATACGAAATGCAGAGGCATAAGATTGATGTTCACAGTTCTGGACACGAATGTTCTTATTGCCACAAGCTATTTACTGGGAAATCGTCCGTTTCCAATCATATTCGACGAACTCATTTAAAAGAGAAAAATGTCGAATGCACTGCTTGTCATGAGAAGTTTTTTGATTCACAAAGCCTGAAAGTGCATATGGTCAAACATTATGGTGAGCGGAATTTCCACTGTGATGTATGTGGGAAAAAGTTTCTGTGGAAGAAAAATCTTCGAGGGCACATGTCTTCTCATATCAAATCTTCCGAAAATCTGTTACAATTACAATAATAAAATTCGAAATAATTCACAAATTAACACAAGAAAGTATTTATGTTAAAAGGAAGATTTTTAGATAGAAACATTTCTTTACAGATGAAGTCCCGAACGACCTCTGCACCTCTGAGCGCAGACGAAAAAACTTGCAAATACTGTTCAACAACACATCAATAATACCTTTCAAATGGCGGGGAAGATATATTTGTTTTTATTGCGGCCAAAATTACACAGAGTACAAAAGTTTCAGAAAACATACGAAGTCTCATGGACTATGTAGTACAACAGACTACGCCCTGAAACTTATAAAAGGAAATCATATAGAGATAAAAATAGATATTTCAGAAATAATATGTGAAATTTGTTACGAGCCATTAACAACTTTCACAGAAATAGTAGATCATTTGTGTAATAAACATGATTTGGAATATGACAAAAGTATCGATATTCCCATCCAAGAGTATCAGTTGTCAGATTGCCGATGTCGATTATGTGGTGAAGAGTTTACGTATTTCGGATACTTAATAACTCACACCAATATCGCTCATCCGCAAAATACTTTTATTTGCGATAATTGCGGCGAAAAGTTTAATAAAAAAAGAGATTTAGCGATTCATATAAGACGTTATCACCAAGATGGTGGCTACCCTTGCGATGAATGCTCAGAAGTGTTCGAATCTTACGCGCTTTTAAGTAAACATAAAAACAATTTTCATTTCCGTAGATGCAAAATATGCGATTCTCGTTTTCCTTCTTACACTCTTCTAAAAAGACATGTGCAATGTGATCATTCAGATGATAACTGCCCGTATTGCTCGAAAAAATGTCAAACTTCACAAGGTCTTAAACAACATATCACGAAATGTAATAAAAAAACTCGCATCAAAATTAAACAACCGTTTCCCGAAGAAACGATGCAACCGAGTAAAAAGAAAAATGTAAATCAAATTAGGAAAAATATATTATGTGTTCTGAATATGTCAACGGCGGTGCCATTTAAATTTTTCACTAAATATTCGTGTTTTTACTGCTCTAAAAGTTACGTTGAGTTTGATGAGCTCAAAGAGCATGTCGTTGCTGCCCATCCCGCTTGCGACATAAAAGAAAAATGCATAAAAAATTGTAAAGGGGAAAGGATTACAGTCAAAATAGATATATCGTCTCTAGCGTGTAGGGTCTGTTATGAGCCTTTAGAAAGTATAGACAGTCTTATAGATCATCTCATAACAAAACATAAAGCGGAATATGACAAATCTACAACAGGTTGCTTCGAATCGTTCAAAATCGTCAAAGACAATATTCCTTGCCCAATTTGCTCGACGGTTTTTAGATACTTTGGTTCTCTTTTAAGACATATAAATTCTGAACACAGTAATAATAATAAAATATGCGATTTTTGCGGGCGTAGTTTCAAAAACGTTGCTAATTTAAAAGTTCACATAACATACGCTCATACGGGTTCTTGCGAGTGCGATATTTGTGGATCGAAATACAAAAATCCATGGTGTTTAGGACGGCATAAAGCGAAATCTCATAACGCAAAAGAGTTTCAATGCACAAAATGTCCGGAGCGATTTCAATCTCAATACCATAAACAAAAACATCTAATCAAAGTACACGATATAGGTCATAAATGTTCGCATTGTGGCAAAATGTTCACCAGAAATTCGTTTATGAAAGACCATGTGCGTAGGACTCATTTGAAGGAGAAAAATGTACCGTGTACAGTTTGCAATGAGAAATTCTTTGATAATTATTTATTAAGGTTACATATGGTGAAACATAAGGGTGAGAGGAAGTTTAGTTGCGAAGTTTGTGGTAAAGCATTCCTAAGACGCAGCAATTTGAGTGCACATACAGACATGCACAAAAAGTATGGTCATGTGTAAAAAAATTGGAATTGATCCATTTTTTTTTCTCTTTTAGTCACACATAATATATATTTTTTGTGATGGTAACAAAAGTATTAATATAATAGGGGTTTTCTTATTTTGGTAAACTGTAAGTTTTTAGTGTAATTATATGAATTTTTAGACTGATTGTGTTTCCTATGGATTAATTTTAAACTATGTTAATAGTATATTTTAGCTAAAATTATTATAATCAATTCAATAACCTGCCTTCTTGTATAAAAATGACTGTTAAACACTAATCGTAGATATAGAAATAGTGAACTGGTTGTTCTGTTATTTTTCACATATATAATATAAATTAAATATGATTATATTATGTATAGTTACATCGTATACTCGAACTGAATTATTCTCGATGTTTGTATAAGCATAGTACATAATAAATATAATTTCAGATATTTTTTGTTTTTATTTTCTATTATTGCTAACTACCCGCAACAAGCTATGATACTATTTTAATTAAATGTGGAATAAAATGAAAGGAATAGAATGAAAAAGCAGTAACTGAAACATTTTTAAATAGATAGCATATAATGATTGAATTATTAAAAAAAAAGAATTTGTCTGATTGAGAAGGAAATGAGCAATAAAGGTAAAGATGTGACCGAAACAGACATTTTGAACTCCAGAGAGAAGCATTTGACATGGAAATAAATGACCCCCTTTCTTTACAGGTACAAAATTGTGTACAGTGGAAGACAAATATAAAAAAAATGAAATGGTGCGTAAACTGTTACTAAAACGTCGCAATGTTGAATACGTTTTGCAATATAGTAATGTTACACCATTCATGTGGTACAAGGGAAGGTACAGATGCTTCTACTGTGCTGAGCCTATGAAAGATCCGGTACTTTTACGCGAGCACACAGCTAGAGTACACCAATTTGCTAACTTGGAACTCGTGGTCCATGATCGAACTAAAAATAATAGGAATAAAGATGCTGCAGTGAAAATTGATGTTACAGACATATCCTGTAAATTGTGTCCAAGATCAGTTAACACTCTAGAACAGCTGATTAACCACTTGATAATAGCCCATGATGCAGAATACGATGTCAGTGTTCCTAACTGCTTCCTTCCTTTTAAGTTAGATAAAGGGCAGCCCACTTGCCCTATTTGTGACATGAAATTCGTCTTCTTCGAGTATCTTTTGCGTCATGCAAATAAACATCACTTATCACACGATTATATATGTGATGTGTGCGGTACAAGTTTTCAAGGGGAGAATCATTTGAAAATGCACAACAGATACTACCATAGAGAAGGGGGTTACACATGCGATATATGTGGTATAAGTTTGTCTACGTTGTCAAAGAAGACACTCCATGAAAAAAACGTGCATATGGTTAACCTATCTACTTGTCCGCATTGTCCAGAAACTTTTAAAAGTCCATATTTCAAGAAGTTGCATTTAGCAAATGTACATGGTGTTGAAGAGTTGAAAATTAAATGTCCTTATTGTCCAAAAATCTATCCTCAAGAGAGTATAATGTCACGTCATATGAGACGAGTTCATTTGAGGGAGAAGAATGTTGAATGCCAAATTTGTGGCGACAAATTCTTTGAACCCTACGATGTTAAATTGCACATGTTGAAGCACAATGGCGATAAAAAGTTTATGTGCTCTTTTTGCGGGAAGAAGTTTTCTAAGAAGAGTAATTTAAATTCTCACTCGTGCATTCATACGGGACAGAAAAAGTATGTTTGCTCATTATGTGACAAGGATTTTGCTCACCGATACAATTTAAGTCAACATATACAAACATGGCATCCTCAGAATATGGTGGACCAAGATCAAGATATGGGCGTCACAGACGATATTGATGACAGTGAGCTAGTCGAATTGAATTTTGTCTCGGAATTAGACGGAGAGCAAATTGTGGAAGATGTTGTCTAAATCTGAAAATCGCCATTAAAGATTTTCCATATGTAGTAAATACGTATTGTAGTAGTTTTAAAGAATAATCTAGACTACTTTTTGGACATATTTAACTTTGTAAATACATATGTTGATATATTTTGTTTCTTTTGTGTAAAATGTAAATAAAAGTATTTTTTAAATTTTCTTTTTTTATTTTATAATAAATTTAGTTTTACAAAGACGCGATATTTTAATTAAATGTTTTTTCAAAGAAAGGAACGTAAACAAAATATGTTTTTACAGGGATAAGAAAAAGGAAATACCAAGAGGCATGTCTAGAACGATTAACTGTTCTACGAAGTAATATACTAACACTACTGCAGTATGGAAATGTTGTACCCTTCCACTGGAACACGCGAGGCTTCAGATGCTTTTTTTGTGGGAAGGAAATAAGAGACTGTGATTCTTTAAAAGAACATACAATACTCAGCCACAAATCCATAGAATTACACTCATTTATACCCCAAAGAATTATAAGCAAGGATGTCCCAATTAAAATAGACATAACAAATCTTTCTTGTAAACTCTGCAATACACCTCTAGCAACTGTTGAAGATCTAATAGCTCATATAGTAGCTGTACATGGTAAAGAGTATGACAATTCAGCTGGAGTCTGCGTGTTTCCATTCGTTCTTACAAAGAATATTCTAAAATGCGTACTCTGCGAAGATAAATTTGACAATTTTACGTCTATGATGGGACATATGTACAAGAAGCATATTGCCCATCCCTATATGTGTCAGATATGTGGCCTGAGTTTCATAGACAAAGTTAGGCTAAAACGGCACATCAGTAACAGTCACATCGGATACAGATGCAAAATTTGTGGGAAAATCTTCGACGCGTCACACAAAGTTGAAAAACATAAGCAAAGGATTCATGGTGTTCGGAGGACGGTAGCTTGTAACCTCTGTAGTGCAACTTTCGACAATCAGTACCAAATGAAAGTTCATATGGGAAAGATCCATAACGTAGAGAAATATCGTATAAAATGTGAACATTGCTCAAAAATTTGCACAACCAAAGGCGCCATGTTGTTACACGTCCAATCGCTGCATTCGAATGTTAGATTTGAATGCGATCTTTGTGAATACAAAACTGGTATCAAATGGATGATTAAATTGCACAAACGCAAGCATTTCGGGGAGAAAAACTATGTATGTAGCTTATGTGGCAGACATTTTGGAAGGTCGAGTAACCTAAGAGCTCATATGAGAGTGCATACGGGAAATGTCGGTCGAGTGTGTCGCTGGTGTCGCCACGGTTTTATCGATTCTAAAAGTTTGGAAGGGCATGAGAAAGACGTTCATTACTATGCTCAATATAATTGAACTTTTAAAACACGGACTTAGAATACTTAGATTGCAGTTTAGTGAAAAAAAAATGATTGGATTTAATCATCGATCAATAGATTACTAGATACACAATCAGCAACAAAAAATGTCCATACCGAATAAGCGCTTATCTGAACATTTAAGCGCGCTTTTAAATGTTATTTTTTGTGAAAACAACTAAATCTTGCATTTAAGGTTCAATTTACATTGTTGTATATTTATTTCAACTAGAACAATACCTAAACACAATTGGTGACAGTTTTAAGAGAACTTCTGCATGGGATTGTGTATCTAGTACTTTTTTTAATAATTGATTTAATAAATTATTTTGGATGTTTTGACTAGGACATTAATTTCTGATATGATCATCTCATATTTATTCGTGCTAAATGACTTTGTTACAAGTATAGTTATTTCTTAATAATAGAAGATTTGATCTCACTTTTTTAAGTAGTCATAGGCTATTAAAATTCGTATGTTTCTGTTGTTACCACGTACAAAGTAACTTCTGTTTCTCTTTAACACTATATAGTGTAATAAATGTAGTAATAAGAATAATTTTTGGGATTGTTTTAGAATGTCATTATCTCTTTCTATGAATATATTTAAGTTTGTAGATATAATATATTCTTCGTAATACTATTTAAATGTGCTTTTATTTTTTGACGTATTAATTTCTTTCTAAATAAAAAAAATACTATTTTCTAAATTAAAATTATTACATATTTCTCACTAACTCTTAAAGTTTATTCGCTGCTGTCTTTAAATTTTTTTAAATTGATTTTTTCTGCAATTTAAGTATTTAACCTACCTACTTTTGATTTATAATAAGAAAATTTCTTCAAGACTGAAAACTTGCTATACCACCAATACCTTGCTATAATACAATACAAAATGCGTGACATGACGTCTACTGGCTACCTCTAGAATATGCTTTGAAAAGACTAAAGTGTAAGCATGTTTTCCTTGCAGGAGAACTTAGGGGTGGCCAAAAAGCTGTTGATGATTCTGTACCCCATGAGGAACTCATCCCGATCCAAGTTGCTACTAAACCGGCTCTATCGGCCAAGGATAAGAGAAAAATAATGAGAAACAATGTACTGCAAGTGCTAATAAAGTCTACTGTGATGCCTTTCAGATGGTTAAAAAGCTCATATAGATGTTTCTATTGCTACGACATCTTCCAAGAATCTTCAGATTTGAAAAACCATCAACACGTACATGTTGGTGACGATATAAAGGAACAGGCTATGAATAATTATTGGGAATCTGTTGTTTATGTGGACATCTCGAATCTATCCTGCAAGTTGTGTCCTGAAAATTTGACGGATTTGTACGATTTGGTAGACCATTTGGTGGCAAAACATGGAGTTGTCTACAATAAAGACGTCGGCATATGCATGGTTGCGTTTAAACTAGATAATTTCACTGTTAATTGCTTAGCATGTGGAGCTAGTTTCTATACTTTTGGACCTTTATTACATCATACTAATAAAGATCATAAAGGAACCTCAGCAATTCTATGTGATGTTTGTGGGCAACATTTTAAAGATGGCAACTTGTTACGTTTACATGTCAAAACTGTGCACGAAAACACCGGCTTACTTTGTCCTGAATGTGGTGAGAAGTTCGAAACTCGATCCAAATTGAAGACTCATCAGAAGAACCAGCATGATTTAGATAAAAAATACAAATGTCTCGTATGCTCTCAGACTTTTCAAAGTCATTACAAGCGATCGAGGCACATGGCGACAGAGCATAAAAATAGACAGGAGATAAAGTGCCTTCACTGTCCCAAGACGTTTGTGTTTCGTAGCATGATGATGACACATTTACGAGATACCCACTTAAAAGTGAGAAATCACGTGTGTGGAGTTTGCGGTTGGAAGGCGTTTAACAGCAACCGCTTAAAGAACCACATGTACAAACATAGTGGGGAAAAGAATTTCAAATGTGATGCCTGCGATAAAGCGTTTACAACGAAAAAGATTATGCGAGCGCATTTTGCAAGAATGCACAAGACTCTCCAACCGTCTATCATGCCATACGAACATTCGTATGTGGCACATTGAGAATATTCGAGAATTAAATCCTTATGTCGATAATAGATCTCGTTATAGATAACTTAAAATGATAACTGATAGTGTATATTTAAAATTAAGTTTTTTTTTAACCGACAGCGAAGGAATGTGAATTGCAGTGTTTAAACAGATGGTTTATTTTTTATCCATACTAATATTATAAATGTGAAAGATGGTGTGGATGGATGGATGAGTGGTTGTTATTTTTTCACGCTAGAACGGCTGAACGGATCTGGATGGGATTTACTTTAGGTTACTTTTTATCCCGGAAAAATGTACGGTTCCCGTGGGATAGATATGTTTTTGTCTAAAACCCGAAGCGAGGGTGAGGCGCTAGTTACACATAAAACAAACTACTAAGGGTTAATGTAATAATATTCAAATACATTTCCATATAAACTTTGCCTGAATTAAAAATATAATTAAATATAATGATATTGCTTCCCAATACAAATACAAGTCTTTCCCAGGGTCTCAAACTATCTTCTTACCCAATTTCATCGAAATCGGTTCAGTAGATTTAGAGATTACCCCCTACAACGTAACAAACTCACAAACTACCTTTTTATAATATTAGTATAGATTTTACTTAAAGACCTATTATAATTCTATATAGAATTTCGGATGCATAGACAAAAGAATTGTTCATAGTTTTTATTTGTGCAATAACATATAATAAGCGAGATAGATTAAATTTAAAATTTTTGGCGTAGTTTGGCGTGCATTTATTATTAGATTCGCATTACAATTTTTTGCGGCAATATCTTTTGTTTCCGATGTTTTTTTTAATCATTTAAGCTTACATTTAATATAATACTATTTCGCGTCGAATGGTTTAAGAATTTTGTATTTGATGTACATATACAACTATTTGTAAGTCCGTACTTACTTTACAAAATAAATATATAAAAAATATAAAGCCTTAATTTTTCTTTGAGAAAAATTATTACTGTCATATTTTTTTAAATAGCTACTACACCTTATAAGCTAAATTGGTACGCTCATAATAGCTTGAGAAAGGCTGGACCGATTTGTATCATTTCTTTATTAAAATAATTTTTAAATGGTTCAAATTGTGTTTTAAGGGGGAAAAAATTTGGGAAACACTGATGCTATTTTGTTTTTAGGTTCTCAATTCGAATGTTTGTATATTTTTATGTATGCTCTGGCATAACTCCGTAATATATAGGCGGATTTGTAAAATTCTTTTTTTATTCGAAAGCGGTTTATTCCGAAATGGTTTCATTTAAATTTGAAGAAAATTCGCTTCTAACTGTATAAAATAAGGGTTGATTGATTTTTTACCTGAATTTTTAAAATACAGAAAGTATTTTCATTTTGCTACTAATATGTCTTATTCTACATTAATAATGGAATAACAAAAACTAAAAAAAAAACACTATAAAGTAAAAAAAAATCTGATTGGTAGTTTTCATTTCCATAACACAAAAATGAATCGCTGAATGTGTTGGTAAGCGCAAATCTCGAGAGTAGCTGAACCGATTTAGCTAATTCTGTTTTTAGAATATTCCTTGAAGTACGAGGATATACTATACTCCCATACAAAAGATTCGTAATAATACTTAAAAGTCAATTTGAACTTTAATACCATACCATAAAGTTTAAGTGTTAGTGGAGAGGTTCCGGGAAGGCAAAACAATAATGAGTGACGTTAGTATCGTATAAATATTAATGTCAACATTCTTCAATATTATTAACAAAAAAAAATGTATATGGCTTATAACTATTTATATGTATTTAAAACGTACTTAGCAACGAACCCGAGCGAAGCGAGGGTGAGCCGCTAGTACTATATATGTATCTAATCTAATGTTTTGGAACTTAATCAGATATTTTGGAAGTTAGTGCCAGCCGATAAAAATTAAAGCACACAATTTCGAATATATCTGATTGGGTATCTATAGTAAATGAAAAGTACCAATCAGTTAATTTTACTTTTGAGTGTTTTTTTGAAGTCTGTTTTTATAGGATTTTTGTCTCAAAAATCGGAGTCAAAATTGAAATTTGGAGGACAACGTCTATCGAGTCAGCTAGTAAAAGACTAAAATAAGAATGTTTATACTTTTCACAATTGTAACTAAAAAAAACTTTTCAAATATAATAAAATAAATACGGAATTATAAAGAGTTATCATAAATATAATTTGCTATTTAAAACTATTCTTTCTATGATTAAAGTGATTAAGATGGAGAACAGACGATAAAGAAGAAACTTTGCTTTCAGGCAAGAGCCGAAACACGAAACGCAGTTTATATTCAAAAATACTTGCATCTTCGGACAGTGAAGACAACTTACCAATAAAAGATCTTAAACCAAAATTATCCACAAACGATAAATTGATCATAATGAGAAAAAATGTTGTCCAAGTCATCTTAAAGTCAACAGTGATGCCGTTTAGATGGCTGAGAAGTTCCTACCGATGTTTTTACTGTTACGAAGTGTTCAGAGACCCTAGGGATCTAAAATTTCACCAAAACGATCATAATGTTGACGGAGAAATACATAAGGCAATGGAAAATTATTGGGAGCCGGAAGTGTATATTGACATATCTAACATATCCTGCAAAATCTGTCCAGAAGCAATTACAGAGTTATATCAGCTAGTAGATCATTTAATTATTAAACACAGTGTAAACTTCGATAAAGATGTTGGTATAGGGATGTATGCATTTAAATTAGATGAGTTTTCAGTCAGATGTGCGGTTTGTAACCAAAAATTTAGCACTTTTGGACATTTGTTGGTACACACAAATAAAGATCATAAAGGGTGGTCGGAAGTACTCTGTGATATATGCGGGCAACATTTTCGGAATGCCAAAAATCTCCGGCAACACAAGAGAAATGATCATGCAACCAAACCGGTTACTTGTACTCATTGCGGATTGAGGATAATCAGTAAAAACAAGCTAAGAACACATCTGCAGAATTTCCACAACCACAGATACAAATGTTACGCGTGTTCGGACTTGTTTGAAACACACTATAGGAGGTCACAGCACATGATGCTTGTACATAAAAGTAGGGAAGTGGTGCAGTGTTCCTCGTGCCCGCGGACTTTTGTATATCGAAGTTCTATGATGAGACACGTAAGAGAAACTCACCTGCAAGAACGGACTGCGGTTTGCAGTGTTTGTGGATGGCGGTCTTTTGCCCAATACGATCTCCAGAAACATATGATGAAACACAGTAACGAAAGAAATTTTAAATGTCCATCCTGTGAAAAAGCTTTTAAAACTAAGAAAACTATGAGACAGCATTACAATAATATACATGAAAAATCGAAAATACAAGATGCAATTGTTTCTAATGAATTTATGTTTGCGAAATAAAAGTTGAACCACACATTTGCTTATTTTATTAAATCAATATTTGACTATGATGTCAAATTATTTTTATTTCCAAATCGAACATATTTCCTCAAGATTATCTGAAAATTCTCGTATAAGAAAATGTCGTTTAAAACCTCTTTGTTTATATGTATAAGAATAAGTATTATAAATATTAGCGGTTAAGAATAAACTGAAGTTAAGAAGAAATTTTACTTTCAGGCGGAATCCGTAAAGAGCCGGTGAAAGTTAACAAGAAAAGATTAAGTAAGAAAAGATCACAGTTAACCAAACAAGATTCAGCGTTAGATTTTTTTAGGAAAAATACAACTCAAGTGCTAGAAAATTCAACTATAATGCCTTTCATATGGCTGCGGACTTGTTTTCGATGTTTTTATTGCTACGAAATGTTTGAAGAACGTGCAACATTAAAATCTCATCAAGATATCCATACAATTAAAGATATACACGAAACAATGGATAAGTTCTATGAATCTTTGGTAGTGATCGATGTTTCGGAGATATGCTGCAAAATTTGTTTGACCAATATGAGTGATATTTTCCAACTAGTAGACCATTTGATAGCAATTCACAAAATTGACTTTAATAAAGAAGTAGGTGTAAACATGGCGCCAATAAAACTAAACGAAGGTGTTAAATGCGTGTTCTGCTCGATGATTTTTAAAAGTGTCAGTCATTTGGTCTTGCACATGAACAGATATCATAAAGGTTGCTTGAAATCCCTGTGTAACAGCTGTGGGACTCAGTTTAGGAGTTACGATGATTTTTGCGAACACGTAAAAAAAGATGTTACAGAAGATAATCTGAAATGTTCACAATGCGATCTCTTCTTGAATTACGGGGTCTTGAAGACTCATATGAAAGATGTTCACGGCATGAGATACAAATGTCTGAGTTGCTTTGAATTCTTTCCCTCGCACTATAAGAGGTCAAATCATATGGCAGACATTCACAATCGAAGGGATAGAATTAAATGTTCATATTGCTCCCGAAGTTTTATATTCCAAAGTATTCTAATGAGGCATGTGCGTGAGAACCATTTGAAACAAAAGAACGTGGTGTGTGAAATCTGTGGATGGAGGACCTATGGGAAGCACGAGTTAGGCAACCACATGGCTAAGCATGATGCTGTCAGACATGTCCGATGTCCTCTTTGCGATAAAGCGTTCAAAACTAATAAATATATGAAGAAACATTATTTAAAAGCTCATAAATAGTTAAAGCTGTTGTGGAAGCGGTTGTGGTGGGATGACGATGATAAGGGTCGTGACTATAATTGACTACAATGCAACCTTTTTTTTTAAATCTTGGGAAATGCATTTACACATACCACTTGTATACATACAGGTGGTTATGTGGGACTTACCCACTAGAAAAGCCAGTACTACCCACCAAAACCCAAAACCTCACCCATCGAACAGACTACAATTCACCCCTTTTTGACATGGAATAAATATCCAATCTATCATAGAATTTTATGGAAATAAGCATGGAGTAGTTCATCTAAAACCAGAAAATGTAAAGTTGAAAGTTGAAAAAGTATTTTGTTTATTTGCATCGAAAGCAAATGTGTATGACCTATTAAAATATATCGTATATTCAACGAATGTTTATTGATAAGTATTATAAATTCGGTTTTCTTCTCAGTAGGGATCGATTGCGATTTTTGTATATCAACAAACTCCTTAAATAATAGTGAGGCCTAATAACTTATTTAATAGTAATAAATATTTACTTATTATTTGATTGGTTTGATTTTAGAGAAATTAAGTATGAAATGAGAAAATTGATAAAGGAACTAGGTGTTATTTGGTAATATTGATTCAATTTAGTCTTCAAAATATTGGAAGGGCCCTTTAATATAATGTTTTTTTTTTTCATATAAATAAATAAATAAGTTGGGACATTAACACACAGCGCCATCTAGTATCATGGTAAGCTACGAGGCTTGTGTTATGGATACCAGATAGTTGATATACTACACATATATAACTTTAAATACATACATATTATAAATATAAACACCCATGACTGGAGTACAAACATTCGTCATCACACAAATGAATGGCCCCCAGCGGGGCTCGAACCGCGACCGTTGGCACAGCAAGTAAAGGGTCACTACAAATTGAGCCAAACGTGTCGTCAAAATGTAAAATGTTATTTATTATTTCTTTGATAAAATTTCCTTCAAGATTATATTTGGAGGCAGCGTTAGCCCAGTGGTAACGCGCTCGCTTGGGAAACCGAGTGAGCAGGCTCAAATCCCGGGTTTCGCATCTCTCATATTTCCATGTGTATATGTATGTATACACATACATATGTATATAGATAGTACACTAGGTATACTTTGGAATGTGAAAAGAGATATGGTATTATATACTATTCTTTATTGCACTTATATGTAAAATACAGAGAGTAACAAACAATAAAATTAGCAAAGGTGGACTTATCTCTAGAAGAGATCTCTTCCAGTCAACCTAAGTGAGTTAGAGAGATAGTATTAAACTGCAGGCTAAAGTGCAGTAACTCAAATGTAAATACTTAAATAAATATATATTATATATACATATAACAAAACATTATTTATTATTTTTTAGTATAAATATTCAGCTAGTTTTTGAATAATACCCACCATACAGCTAAGCGAAATGCACTGTGTTACTGCCGTCATAAAAAAGAAGGCCGCAACTTCGTCAAAGTTGATTTCGAGATAGAAGTTTTCTCTTAGTACTACGTCTAAATCTACTAGTTTTGACGTAGTTACGATGAAAATGTTTATGGTATCTCCGGATTCATAAGACTTATGCCCGATTTCACCAACAACCCATAAGCTACCACCTACGTATGGGATCCCTAGCTTAAAAGTCCCCTAAACTAGCCCCTAAATTAACTTTCGTTTTACCATCGTCTTTAAGCCCATATTTCGAGCACCTAAATTTAGGGGGCCTTTTAATATTTAGGTGACCCCTAACTGTCGATGAAACAGAAACTGTCCCCTAACAGCCCCCTAACCATGCTTAGGGGATCCCTTAAACTTAGGTGACGTTGGTGAAATCGGGCATTAGAGCTTTACGAGTAAGACTATTGAGTAGCATTTTTTTTGCTGATTCAGAATCTGCATTTATGTCATTTTTGACAAAATTGTTAGTTGGGGCCTTCTTTATTTTGACGGCAGACTAGCCCTTAATATGATATATTTCTATTTTATAAGGTAAGTTATCTTAAAGTTAATTTAAGAAATTCTTAGTATATAGAAGTAAATATGCTTTTTAATTTCAGATCATGACATTATAGATCTCCTCGCAGAAAGAGATAGGAAGTTTGATATAACGAGGCTAATGACAGTGATTATAGAATACTCCACAGCCGTTCCTTTTAGATGGTGTTCGAATAAATTCATGTGTTTCTACTGTTGCTGCGCTTTTATAGACAGTTCTAAACTGAAGCAACATACTGAAGAAGAACACCACGAAGTTAAATTAAATAATGTGTTAAGAAATGTCACCAGTCAGACAAGATTCAAGGTCGATATAACTGAATTGTCTTGCAAAAAATGCTCCAGGCCACTATCGAATTTGGAGGAGTTTCTGAATCACGTTTCGGAGTTACACGATGTAAACTTCAACAGAACAGTCATGGATTGTCTCTTTACCTTCAAATTGTCAGATGATGGCATGCGATGTCTCGATTGCGGAATGTGTTTTCGATTTTTTGGAACTTTGCTCACTCATGCTCATAAATCTCACGCTAAGACTAACACGTTTTTATGCGAAACATGCGGGAAAGGTTTCGTGGCGAAAGCTAATTTAGATAGTCACGTTAAAACAGTCCACTCCAGCGTCCATTGGACGAAACGTCGAATAAATTCAAACCAAAACAAACCAGAAAAATTACAATGTCCAAAATGTCCTGAAATATTTCGCACTAGATATCTTAGAAAACAACATTTGGCTATCGTACACGATATGAAAAACTCTCAATTCTCCTGTGATATATGTTCAAAAATGTTTTTAATTAAAAGTAGATTAATTCAGCATAAGTTGAGGGTACATTTAAAAGAAAAGTCTATTGCGTGTGAAGTTTGTGGTTTTAAAGTGTTCAATAAAGAGCTATTGAAACGGCATATGGTTAAACACGATGACTCTAGACCATATCAGTGTGAAATATGTAAAAAAGCATTCCAAAGGAAGAAAACCTTGGATTTTCATAGACGAATACACACAAATGATAGACGATACGTTTGTAAAGACTGTGGGAAAGCATTCGTGCAAGTAACGAGTCTTAAATTGCATACGAGAGTGCATCATAATAATGGGTCAGTGTAATAAATAAATAGGGTAATAAATTAATTTTGTGGCATAATCAAATGGATCTTTAGTTGGAGGTAGATTTTCAAAGGAGGAAGCGGGTTGGTTAAAATCTCAGGTTTTGAGCCGAACAAATAATATTTGACTTTAGAACGCTTACGAATAAATTGAAACTTAAATGTAAAAAAAGTCAATCGTTGGAAATGTTCAAAAGAGATTTTTTAAAAGAGATTATTAAGGACAATAAACTTTTTTATTAGTATTTATCTTTTATTAACAAAGGTTACAATAAAATATTTTTGAATATTTCTATTTAAAGCAATATGTTAAGTTTGATGTGTATTCCATTACTGCACAATTTCGTGTTGAATTGTTAAGTCTATATTAATAATATTATGGGGTATATATAAGTATACTAATATTATTATCTGTAAAATAGATTGTCTATGACCCTCACACTCTGTGCCAAAAACTATATGCAAATCACATAGATCTGTTACTGTGTAAAATAAAAACATATTGGCATACTCCCTATAGCATTTATATTATTTTAATAACGGCTATGTATTCAGCCCTTTTTAACTTCCCACTGCTGGGCGTGGGCTTCCCTTCAATGGGAGAGGTCAGGCCATATAGTCCACTACGCTGGCTAAGTCCTGGTTGTCTGATTTCAAATCTGTCTCAAAAACTTACTAAGTACTCTTAGACATGCAAGTTTCCTGTTGAATGCCAAACTCCAGTTGTGATGCTGGGGGTCTTGAATAAAAAAAATACGCTTCGCTATTGAATGGACTGTATTATCGCTGTTGAGACAACCGTTGTGTGTACACGGCGAGAGGGTGCGAGCGAGTCCCACTGACGAGGGCTCGGCGCGTCGCTGGGATGACCATCGCGAAACCGGTTCGTTCACGAGCCGCTGGCGTGTCTCGATGTGACGTAGGAACATTTCCTCATGTTTTCTTCTCCATAGGACAAGTGGTAAACATATCGGGATTGAGTCGGACATATAATATTAGAGGTGCGAGAACTCGGATTTGAACCCACTTACTCGATTTTCCCAGCCAGCACGCAAGACCACTGGGCTACCACTACCTTTTCTATTCAGATGAATAAAATTGAAGTGTCTGTTTGTAATTTCAAAATAACAGCGTTTTACTAGATGCATATGAAATTATGTATATACGGTACTTATAAGAAAAATACTTTTTTTAAAATTTTTGTCTGTCTGTCTGTTTGTTCCGGATAATCTCTGAAACGGCTGGACTGATTTTGACGGGACTTTCACTGGAAGATAGCTGGTATTATAGGGAGTAACATAGGCTACTTTTATTTTAGAAAAAGAATAAGGAGTCCGCTCAAAAAAATTAAAACGTACCTAGGGACGAACCCGAGCGAAGCGAGAGTGAGTCGCTGGTGTATCAACAAAATTTGCCAAAAAGGCAGGCAACTTTTTGGCAAATTTTATTACTAACAGTAGCCTATATGTTACTTCAGATCATAGTATATGTACTAAACATCTAAATCCGTCAGCTGTTTTAAGGTGGAGAAGTAACAAAAATACACACAAACTTTCGGAATTACAATAGAAATAAAACTTCAGAAATCCTAGAATGTTCAATTAAATATTATACTTTATGATATTTTAGGATAAAGACTTAACTATAAGTAAAATAACAAAATTAAATTATTCTCATTTATTATCACAACACATGAAAACACTACATTGTTATATTCAGTTGATATTTATTTAGAACGTTTTTGGAGTATAAATATCGTTCAAAAATATACTTGATACACAATCCCATGCAAAAGTTCTCTTGAAACTGTCACCAATTGTGTTTAGGTAATTATTATAGTTGAAATATAATATACACAACAATGTAAATTGAAATTTAAATGTTATACTTTAAAGTTGTTTTCACAAAAAATAAATAAATTAAAAGAGCGCTCAAATATTCAAATGAGCTTTTATTCGATAAGGAAAATTTTTGTCGCTGATTGTGTATCTAGTACTTTTTTGATCGATGAGTGAAAATTAAAAAAAAAGGTAGGTCCTACTCAGATAACACTATTGGATGAATACATGTCTTTTTTACAATTAAATCTTAGAAGCTGTTAAATTTGCGAAGCTTGGAAATTTACCATTGATCAAAAAAGTACTATATACACAATCAGCTACAAAAAATGTCCTCACCGAATGAGCGCTCATTTGAACATCTGAGCGCGCTTTTAATTTTTTATTTGTGAAATCAACTTTAAGCATTGCATTTAAGGTTCAATTTACATTGTTGTACATTTATTTCAACTAGAACAATTACCTAAAATCAATTGGTGACAGTTATAAGAGAACTTCTGCATGGGATTTGTATATCTAGTACTTTTTTGATCGATGGAGTTTATTTAAAATTATATCGGTAGACTATAGACAAGTAGCTTCTAAAGCAAATACAATTGGGCAGATAATGATAACCAGAAACCAATAAGTCCATAACAACATTTGTCTAAAAAACGCTTTTTTTAGGCCTGAAAAGTCTATACATTTTTAAATAACTGTAAAATTAGATTTTTAGTTGCTTAACTGCCAATAAATAGTAATTCAGTTAGCAATTAATGATTTCACAGGTTGCTATTCCTATACAAAATGTATTGGGTAAGCGTTTTGACAGCTCATCAAAAGTACGTCAATTGATTGTTTCATTGCCAGCCGTCAACTCAAAATGGCGGAATGGCGCAACAGAGACAAAACGAATGTGCGGTCAGAAGTCTTCTATATTAATTAAAATATGATTAATTAAGATATATATTTATAACCATTTTAAAATAACCATAATAAAAAAAGAAGAAAAAATTTGACAATGTCAATACAAAATTTATTGTGTAATCGAAATTTATTTTAAAATATATCCAAAAATAACATTAATAATTGAATTAATAGTATAAAAAATGTTTTAAAACACAACAAAATCGAAAGTGCATAATATTTAACACCATTCAAACAAAGAAAGACAATAGCATTCCCAAGGAGGGTTGACGTCAGGCAGGCGGCCGGTCGTAAAACTTTTGCCAAATCCTATCAGCAGTACACTGAAGATGTACTGCGCCGACCCCAAGTGATTTGGGAAATGGGCAGGGAGAAGAAGAAAAAGATTTATAACCATTTTACATTGCATTATAATATTATAATTTTTTTACATTCCATTTATAAATTCAAATTGAAATAAAAGACAGATATTGGCCGTAAGTTCGCATCCTCTCTTTCTAGATCATGGTCAATTTCATGAGAGCAAATTTACTTGCAACTCTGTTCGCAAGCAATTCACGTCTAGACGCTGGCTCTAAACATCCGCCAACTTTGCCTCATTGTGATTCTTCGATGCCGAAGATCACAATACACACGAAAGAGGTCCGTAAAATCTTGACGTGAATAAGGCCAGTGGACCTAGATCAAGAGTGAGCCCATTTTTAATAAAAAAAAAGTAATGCTCAGACTATTCTCTACGTCTATGATATCAACTACACAGTTATTACATAAATATACAAAAAAATTGAGTATTTAGCTTTATGATAGGGCTTAGGCGTAATTGATCCTGCCCAAGAACGGTCCAAACCCGATAATAAGTTTCACTGCGAAACAAGGGCTAAAAATTAACATTATTATCGCAAAAATGATTTTACTATATTTAATGAGAAGACTAGGTCTTCTTTATATTGTATCATATTTACAACTTATATGACTAGAAAAAAAAATGAAAATAAAATATTTAAAAATAAATTATCTATAGTCTCTTAACATACCAACAATATCATCCAAACCGAATAAAAAAAAACATTCCTAATAATACCTAATACATATTTTTATTTTAAATTTAAAATATACCAAAGAAAACACATTTTAACTCTAATTAACACAATTAATAAAAAAGAAAAAATATAAGCTGTATCGATTTAGGTATTTGCCTAAAAATTTTTTGAATGAAATAAAAATAAATAAATGTCAATACCTAAATTTCACGGGAAAAGTTAATTATTTTAATTTTGAAATGAATAACAGTACTACATAATAATAAATTCCACAAAATAATTTGTACACAAATGTTTTGTAATATTTTAAATAAATATGCAAATTGAAAATAAAGGTAAAGTAAGTAAAACTTTTTAATCTATATACATATAATAAAATTCTGAGTCGAATCTGTACAATGAATATTTTTTGGAAAATCTTATTGAAATAGTCATTATTATCGATACAGAGGTTATAGATATATAATATAGAATTTTTGTCTGTCTGTCTGTCTGGGAAAGAATCACGAGAAAATCACTAGATTTTGATGAAATTTGGTATGATGATAGCTGGTTATCCGGGTCAACATATAGGACACTTTTTACTGCGGGAAAATATCTCATCTCTGAGAAATCTATACTAAACGTTAAAACGCAACATATAATTTTATACAGTTTATTACTTATTAATTAAATTATAAATATTAAGAGGTAAATAATGTCACTATTTACAATAGATTTGACAAAGTTTTTTCTAAATATGTCCAGCATTTATATAAATTACTTCACAAATCAAGGATCGAGCATTTTTGGTTCCATTAGGGTTGCCATATAAGATTATATGAATATTTAAATTGTATTTAACTTTCACGTGAAGCGGACAACATTTTTTTTTGTATGTTTGTCCTAATTTAGTATGACACTAATATAAACATTTACACAAAAGTTTTAATCTACATAGATAAATAAAATTTAAGTGTCTTTTTCTAATGTTTTACAAAATGCATATTAAATTATATATGGTACTTATAAGAAAAACACAATTTTGAAAAACAATGTGTCTGTATGTTTGTTTCTGATTGATTGAGTTTGATCGGACTGATTTTGACGGGATTTTCACTTTCAGGACAAAAATAACGTAGGCTACTTTAATTTTAGAGAAAGAATTATGGTCCCGCTCAAAAAAAAAATTAAAACGTACCTTTTAATTTTTATTAACATTATCAAACATTTAAATATTTATATTTAAAGTTGGCAACCCTAATCTTTACTTCATGTCATATATTCACAGCTACAATTACATTTATTTTTAATTATGTACAACGATTTGACTAAATATTGTATTATTTAAAAAGATTTTTTATTTCTTTGTGGTAATATCGAGTCTTTGGCAAAGCTAAAAAATGATAGAAGGCTGTACCGTTTCGCTTTTCGAGCTAAATAGTCTGTTACAACGTTGTCGTCATCTGTAATAAAAAAAACCTATATTAAAAAACGTGTGTGTGTACGTTATGTACGCACGTAAGAAGTTACTTATTTGGTGTAACAGAACGAAAATAGCTAAAGATTTCTTCCCGTATGTCACAACTTTCTGTTTGTAAAAGGAATGCAACTAACTTCATCATGTCGCTTTTTGGCTGTCGGTGTGCGCGCGCATCGTAAAAATTTTACTCTCATCTTTTTTTTCCAAACGTGGCAAAAGAAGTATAACTTCAAAAAGATTGTCTCTGTCTAAGAAACAGAGAATAGCAACAAATTTAAATTTGACAAGTGCAAGTTTGACTTTTACAACGAATCGTCAACTTTATTTTCTTTTAACATAGACACATAATTTATTACTTTAAAAATAAAATAACACGTTTAACAATACAATATTTGTATTCCGCCCTTTTTAACGTCCCACTGCTGGGGGTGGGCCTCTCTTCAATGCGAGGGGGATCAAGCCATAGTCCACCACGCTGGCCAAGTGCGGGTTGGTGGACTTCACATGTCTTACGAAAACTTGCTAGGTTCTCTCAGACATGCAGGGTTCCTCACGATGGTTTCCTTCACCGTAAGGCAAGTGGTAATCATGTTAGAATTGATTCGCACATGAAAATGTCAGAGGTGCGAGACCTGGGATTTGAACCCGCTTCACTCGGATTCCTAAGCGAGCACGTTACCACTGGGCTACCACTGCCATACAATATTAATTTCATCAAAATTATTTTAGGGGTCTAACGCGTGGTATCAAAAATATCTCAACGTAGGTACTCGTATCTACTTCAAAATATTTCTCGTTAAAATTGTTTTGGAAACTTTATTGAAATAGCATCGATACTAATACGAGTATTATAAATGTGTGTGTAACTCATGTCTGTTGCTTTTGCACGTTTAAACTACTGAACAGATTTCGATAAAATTTAGCAAGGAGATAGGGTGCATCCTGGGCATGGATATAACCTTTGGTCTCTCCCTACTTAAACACGAGCGAAAATCCTACTAATATTTACAAATGCGAAAGTTTTTAAGGATGGATGGATGTTTATTACTCAATCACGCCAGAACAGCTGAACGGATCTGGATAAAATTTGACACAGAGATAGATTATAATCTGGAATAGCACATAGATTACTTTTTATCCCGGAAAAATGTACGGTTCCCGTGGGATAGATTTGTTTTTGTCTAAAGACGATGAGTCGCTAGCAGGTAATAACTAAAAGGGAAAATATTAAAAATTTAACACCACACTCACCCAATAAATGTTGACGCTCCCCCGTAGTTGGCAACACATAATCGTTAGCTGACAGCGATACAAATAACGCAAATGGGACCACCCAGAGGCATATCGTGTAGTATCCAAGCATCTAAAAGCCATAGATTAAATATAATAATATAGATTTCTAGCAGAACCCGCGGCTGCGCCCGCGTTCAATCTACAAAAAAAGCTCTTTGGGTTTATGTTATACAGCGACTCACCCTCGCTGCTAATAAATATTGTTCATATAAAAATATTAAAATCGCGATTAAAAAGTGGGGGGTGGAGGTAGGGGGGTAAAAAATATTTACAATACGGTCTATCATTACTTAGCTATCATTACTCATATCTATCAAATGACAAACAAAAAATCATTAAAATCGGTCGACGCCTTTTGAAGTGCGACCACAACCACCGTGACACGAGATATTTAATTAGAAGATTATATACGCTTCGTCCCATAGTAAAAATACGGAAACAAAGTTTTTGTAAATGGCCATCCATTTTATATATTATTTTTTTCATTTGAGGGAAATTAAAAAAAAACTGATTCTAAGTTTTTTTTTAAATATTCTAATGAATTTATCAGCCAAATTACAAAAAATATGAAATAAAAAGTTGAGATAATATATATCTTAAATTTTAAAAATATCTTAATAAAATGTTTACTATTTAAAATACTATTCTAGGAAAATTACGAACTGCCATTTGACTGAGATATTTAATTGTAACTAGCTTTGCTTCCCCATACAAACATTCATCCCAATTTTCACCCCCTTAACAGATGATTTCCGGGATAAAAAGTATCCTATGTCCTTCTCAGGGTCTCAGACTATCATCTTACCAAATTTCATCTAAGTCAGTCCAGTAGTTTCGGAGCCTATTCAGGACAAACAAACAAACAAACAACAAAATCTTTCCTCTTTATGACATTAGTATAGACTTGTAAAAAAACTATGAAAAAAATAACATTATTTTTACTTGAAAAAAATAAAACTTACCTCAGAAAATGTATATTGATTACTTCCGAAATGTTTAAACGAGAAATAGTGATGTACTATTAAATTTGCCAACGCTAATATAAACGTAATGCTGTAGACCTGCACTACTGGGAATTTTTTTAACAAAAAACCATAGAGTAACTGTTGGAATAGACCTATTAAGTTTAAATATAAAGGAATATCCTCAAATACTATCAATCCAATATATATGGTGGTTGTTACCTGAAAAAATTAAAAAATATTGTTCAAAAATAACATATTTTAAAATATCTTTTTTTTTTGTAAAAAGAATTTTTCAAACTGGTAAGATAATTATGGAGATTTATATGTCAAACAAAAATTTTTTTTGCTTTATAAATTAATATATAGATAACCAAACCTATTCTTCAATTCATTTTTTCTGCCATTTGACACAGTATGAAGGTAGCAGGTTCAAGACCTGCTTACGCAATATATTTGTATAGGCGAAAGTATTTTCTCTCTAAGCAGTAAATAGAGACTATTTAATGAGGAATCCATAGTGTACATTTTTAATTGTTTAAATGCACATACTTTGTTTCGTTCCTTTTATTACAGGGTACAAGAAAGACTATATATTTACTACTAGCATTTTCCTGCGGCTCCGCCCGCATAGTACATTAATCACCAACATATCATATACTAAAACCTTCACCGAAACACGCTGCATCTTATGGTATGAGTATTATTCCGATCGGTTCAGTAGTTATTGCAGTATAACTGAACAAAAAACCGGCTCTCCATTTATTAGTATAGATGTTTAAATATCATTGTTTATTAGTATATAAAAAAAAACAATGTTAACTAAAGTATATCCAAACGAAAGCAAGCCCAAGAATTTTCACCAAATATTCAACTCTCATCTTTTTCATTTTATTGATATAAATTATGTATAGTAATTGTTTAAACTTAAATAACTTACTATTACAATCCATGTGATAATATATTTTGCCATGACTGTGTACTCCTCTACTAACTCTGCTAAGTAGAATAGGCCTGCCGCTGAAATTATTTTTTACATTATACAATGTTAGATTTGATGTACAAATAAAAAAAAATTATATGATTTTATTTTTTTGTAATTTTAAGAAGCAAAATTTCAGTTTAATAGCTTTCAAGTCTACATTTTGAAGATTTTTAATTCTTTTAATTTCTGATTAGAAAAAATATCTGTTATTCCATAATCTTTTATTTAGTAAATTCGTAAACTTAAAACACTACTTAAATTATTTCTCTTATAAGGAGTTTTTTCTAATAGTATTACAGTGTATCATTAAATCATTCATTCATAAAATCTTTGAAATATTAACACAACAATTTCATATCATTTTAAAACAAGAAATGTGATATTTAAGGTGTATTCAAATCAGTTTGATTGAATACACACAATCAAATTAGATAGACTTCATCCACATAGTTACACTATATTATCAGGTCGCTAACTTATGAATTGAAAATATCTCCTAACTTAAAAACTTCACTTGATCTACTCACGACATATATACTAAAATAAACCAACCATTAATTTAATTCAATACTACACTATTTACATATTTACATTTAAATAATTACCTTATTCATAAGCTAACTGTAAAATGCAGTTTTAATCATTTTCTATCAAATATTTATAATTTTATAGTTTATATGCAACAGAGGATGCCGCCAAGATATTTTTGGACATAGGACAGATGCCAATCAAGTCATTTCCCATTTATTTTGCCAATATAAAGTCATTTTTTTTTATAAGAATTCTAAAAAAACAGTGTAGTTACACTTACCAAGTGCCATTGTTAAAAATATACCTTGCACTACAAATGATAATAAACTTATTAAATATAAGAAAAACATGATGTTATAAAAAAATTCTTAGTTTGTTTTGATATTTACAAAATTTTGTGTGAGGTTATACGCGTTGTTTGCTGTCATTGTCAAATGTCAAATTTATAATTTATAGATGTCATTCTTTTTTTATTTGAATAGTATTTCTTGCACTGAATTCTAGTCTCTAAGTATCAAGTTCACATTTTTAAAAATAATAAGGCGTCGCATCAGAAAGATAAAATAGTAAAAAGTAAATAGATAGATATGTATCGATGTAGTATTGATGTGTATCTTAAATTAAAAAAGGAAAATTACTCCAACAATAAGTTTTCTGCTTGCAAAAATACTTTAGATAAAGGAAAGTAAAACGATTTTTTATTAAATCAAATTTCTGTAATTTTACTGATTATTATTGAAAAATCAGCCACTCGCATGTGAGTTTATTTGCGCATTCATGGATATTTACATTTCGTGAGCTGTTAGCCATGTAGGAAAATAGAATCGGACATACATATATACAGGTCGAACATAAAAACCTCCTTGTAGGCTTTGCTTGACCCAACTACAGTTAAAAATAATGTCCTCCATTCGATTTCTGTTACACAGTCAACCTCAGTGATCCTCAACTGATGTGGTGATATCTCTCATAAAATAATAGGATATATTTTAATTTCCTTATGACATAAGTGTAATTTCAGCGAAATTATTTTTTATCGGATTTAATCTATACAGATGAATAAAATTGAAGTGTCTGTTTGTAATGTCAAAGTAATTTCTTTTTACTAAAGACATACGAAAATATAAACGATAATAATAAGTTTTTTTTTAATTTTTGTCTGTGTGTTTGTTCGGGCTAATCTCCGAAACGGCTTGACCGACTTTAACGGGACGTTCACTGGCAGATAGCTGATGTTATAAGGAGTAACTTAGGTTACTTTTATTTTAGAAAAAGAATCAGGGTTTCGCGCAAAAAAATTAAAACCCATGAAATTCTGAACAAGATCCGCGTACCCATGAACGCACACAAGCGAAGCGAATGTAAAGTCGCTAGTAGGACAATAAATGTAAAGTATTTACTATTTACTACACATTAGTATAATAATTTTATCTAATATGTTGACTTAAGTACTGATTTCGTTTAGAGCTTCCAAGAATACTTCTACAATATAATAAAACGAAGAATGTAGGTAAACAACGACAAATAGTATAATTTTATCAGTGTTCTAAGAATTTTAGTTACCACTAAATGTATCTAACCTAGGTGATCCTAAATTATATTACTATTATAAATGCGGAAATTTTGTATGTATGTATGTATGTTTGTTTGTTTGTTTGTTTGTTTGTTTGTTTGTTTTGTTTGTTTGTTTGTTTGTATGTTTGTTTGTTTGTTACTCTTTCACGCTGAAATGGCTAGACGGATTTGAATGAAAAATACACAGATAGGTTGTGAACTAAATCCTAGACTAACACATAGGACATAATCCTATTATGTCCCGTTTAACGGTTAGTATAGATTTCTTAGAGATAAGATCTTGGCCCGCAGTAAAAAGTATCTTATATGTTGACCCGGATAACCAGCTATCTCCATACTAAATTTCGTCAAAATCTGTCCAGTGATTTTCTCGTCATGCGTTGCAAGACAGATATCTGTCTGTCAGACAGACAAAAAATCGAAAAAATAGTAATGACTATTTCAATAAGATTTTTTCAAAAAAATATTTAATGTACCTACAGATTTAACTCATAATGTACATCAGATGTATATGCACCTCTAGATAAGTACATATTATATAAAAAAAATTTCTCGGAAATTGTAATTTAAGAACTGATACATACATAAAATTTCTCTTTATCTTTAAAGAAAGCAGACTATCTGTATGGCAAATTAAAGAAAAGTAGCGCAAACAGCAAAATCACGCTGCTATTTTTGACTTTGACATTATTTATTTGGCCGACCTCGCATATATAATTTTTTAGACGTAGGTATATATTAACTAGCAAAACCCGCGGCTTCGCTCGCGCTAAAACTATTTTATTAAAAAAAGGTAGGTAATGATAAAAATGTTAATCCCCTATTTTACCACCTTAAGGGATGAATTTCGAAAAATGCTTAAACACGTATTTATTTAATTGTATTGAAGAGAATTAATACCAAGTTTCAAATAATTCTGATCTGATGATTGAGTTGTGTTATAACGTCTTTTCCCGTGGGAATGAGATAATCTCCCGCGGCGAAAAGTCGCCTGTGTCACTCCAGCCTTTTAACTATCTCCACACAAAAAATCACGCCAATCCGTCTCTCCGTTTCGACGGGAAAGAATTACAAACAAACACACTTTCACATATATAATATTAGTATGTTGTACCTACGTCCAAGGTTTATTAAGGATTTACTCCCTTTTTCCTCATTATAATTAAGTTTTAATTTAGTTTTAATAATCTTATTTTACCGATCAATCTTTTTCGTGTCTGCTCCATTCTACGTGACATTGGCGAAGTAATATTTGCTCAACTGGCACGCTTTGAGGCCAGAAACTAGAGAATTGAATTGAATAATTCTTTAGTTTGAGTGTCTGAGTTAATGTTGATAGTTTAGACTTCCGTAGAGAATATAGATTGTATTCAGACCTTTTTGACGTCCCACTGCTGGGCGTGGGCCTCCCTTCAATACGAGGGATCAGGCCATAGTCCACCACGCTGGCCAAGTGCGGTTTGGTGGACTTCACATGTCTTGAAAACTTGCTAGGTTCTCTCAGACATGCAGGTTTCCTCACGATGTTTTCCTTCACCGTAACACAAGTGGTAATCATGTTGGAAATGATTCGCACATGAAAATATCAGAGTTGCGAGACCCGGGATTTGAACTCGCTTCACTCGGTTTCCCAAGCAAATGCGTCACCACTGGGCTACCACTGCCTTATATAACACAGATTATACCCAAATTATACCCAAATATAATATACTTTTTTTAGGTGTTTGTTCGAGATCTAGAAAGGAATACCTAAGTCATAGCTCTGTTAACTGCGTAAATCTCGACTTTGACTAATACGTGAATAATGAAGGAAAATTTCAACAATTTTTCCTGTAAAATTGTAAATAAAATGTATTATTTTTTAATGTTTTTATGCGTTCTTTGATTTGTTTTTAATTTTTGTAAAATAGTAATAGATATATAAGAAATAGGTACTGTCTGTAACGCCACCATATCCATAGTCCACCACGCTGGCCAAGTGCGGGCGGACTGAGCATTTCTTTCGAAAACATGCTAGGTTCTCTCAGACATGCAGGTTTCTTCACGATGTTTTTCTTCACCGTAAGACAAGTGGTGATCATGTTAGAAATGATTCGCACATGAAAATATCAGAGGTGCGAGACCTGGGATTTGAACCCGCTTCACTCGGTTTCCCAAGCGAGCGTGTTACCACTGGGCTACCACTGCCTTGCACTAGTTATACCTAATACTTTCTTAAAATTACGCGAATATTTGACACTTTAAATAAAACTATCTTTTCGGATTATTTTGCGGATATATTTTGATTTTTGGTTCCCGACGTTTCGAATGCTTTACAACAATCATGGTCACGGGAGAGATTAAGGTTATAGACGTCTCAAACACATATACTTGTTACAGACAGTACCTACCCACTATTTTAGAAAAATTATTTCAAAAATTCAAAAATGGCACTAAAGTACCTTACAATATTTGTTGACTTTTATTTATTTTTTTTAATTCTAATATTTATAATAATAATAGCTAAAATTAAATAAATAATATTGCTATATTTAATTATAAAACTTATTTTTTTAAACGTTTAAAGCTAGTTTTATTTAAAACTAGCGGCTCAACCTCGTTTCGCTCGGGTCCGCCTCTAGAAAAGCACAAACAGATCTATCCCACGGGAACCGTTCATTTTTCCGGCATGAAAAGTAACCTGTTGTTTGACCGGCAATATAAGGTATCAGCATGAAAATTTTTACTAAATTAGGTGCATTAGTTGTTGTGTACTAAGTTGTATAAGTTATTATAGTTTTTTAACTATCCCGCGGAAACTCTTTAATTTTCAGGGATGAAAAGTATCTAAGATGTTGCCCGGGGATATAAGCTACCACCATGCAAAATTTCATTTAAAGCGGTCCAATAAATTCGGAGATTAGCCCATACAAACAGACAGAGAAACAAAAAAATTGAATAAAATCTGGATTTGTTCTATTTGTCTTCTTACATCCCCCTGACTCGGTTTTTAGCATTTTTTTCTATGTACAGACATTCGACCTCTACAGTTTTATTATAGTATAGATAGATAGTTATAGCTAGTTCAAATTCTATGTATCACACGATTGGTCATGTCTCGTTTTGTCGGTCAGAAATCCCCGCCGCTATAAGGAAAGACGTATATGCACTGATTTGTGTAAATTAGATAATTGCCTTAGATGTTTTCCTGGATGTTTGTCATGTTGTTATATTGTACAGCTGTTACACTTTTATTGACTGTTCTTAATCGACTTCTAACAAAAGCAGGTTCTTGGAGAAAGATATATTATTTAGTGAAATAATTGGGAATTTATTTAGTAAAAATATTGTCTAAGGTCTATTATTTAGTAAAAATATTGTCTAAGGTAAAAATTATTATTAATTTTTTGGTGTCATAGGCTGAAATATACATATAATAAAACAGTAACTTAGCAAAATATGTATATGAAATATTTGGAAGGATAGGGGGGAGGCTGGGGGGTTCTGGGGGTTCAAAAAATCAAAACCTTAAGTTTTATGGCTTTAAAACTTTAGCAGGTATATAAGTAACAAAAACCCGTAAAACGCCCCCGCTGTCCAGCTACCCCCTAGTAAAAATCTACGACTTTTACAATAACCCCACCCACAGTTTTCGACTATTTCCAAAACAAAAACGATTTTTAATTATTATTTTTTTTAATTACTGCAAAAACGACATATCCAGCGACGTCCAGTT